CTTGCTCTGTCAGGATCTGTTCAATTGCTTTTATTTTCTTCTGTCCAACTGAGCTGGGCAGCTTCATCTAGACACACAAATCCATTAGTTAACAAAATATACTACAACTACAAATAAACCTCAAGTAAACTTAAGTTGTGCTTGTGTACTCATGTCTGAATCCATGAGGTATTTGGAACTCAGTCTAGATGGAACATTAACACCTTTAATCTCAGATGGCTACATGGTGTGGGAGCAATGGAATAAAAATGGGGTCATCTTTCATTCATAATACCCCTGAAATGCACTTCAGAGAGGGCAGATCAAAACATGTTTATGCACCCGAGTCTGACTAACAGATGACCAGCCACATCTGAGTCATATACTACCCCAGTACCATCCTTAATGCGTTTTATATAGAGCAACCTCCCTTCATTACTCTTTAAGAGGAATGCCTTCTAGTGGGTAGATTAGTCTACCTATGACTGTGTGAATCAATCAACTCCTGGCTAATGAGAGAGAAGTTAAACGCCACAGGCTCCTGTGGAGAGGAGGGATGCATCATAATATTCTGCACAGATCGTATATTAAGAAACGGATCAGGGGTCAGTTTTGTCGAAGCGTGCAAGTTGAACTTACTCTCTGGCTCCGTAGTGAAACACCAGCAGATTTGAAGTCTGGGAATTTGATGCCTGCAGTTTCCGGAACAGCCTGCCATTGGACAGATGAGAGGGCATTAGAGGAGAACGTGATAGCATTTTTTTTTTAATTTTCAGATTCAAAAAATATATAATTAAAACAAATGCACACACTCACGCACAAAAAAAAAAAATCACAGCGATCATCCTAACTTTGCACTTTCTTTTACATTTATTCATTTATCTGACGCTTTTATACAAAGCGACTTACAATTGCTATATATGTCAGAGGTCGCACGCCTCTGGAGCAACTAGGGGTTAAGTGTCTTGCTCAGGGACACATTGGTGTCTCGCAGTGGATTCGAACCTGGGTCTCTCACACCAAAGACATGTGTCTTATCCACTGCGCCATCACTAGCATCGCCATCACTATCAAACAATTATTATTATCGCTGATAGGTTAACTTTGAATTCAGACAGTGTGAATGGTATATAAAGAGAAAATTACAGGCTTTTCCATCTCTCGTTTCTGAGGAAGCTTCTTCTTGGTGGCTTTGCGTTCAGCTCTGCGCATCTCTGTGTTTGTGTCAGCGGCTGTAATGAGCTTCTGGAGGTCCTGGGCCTTCTTCTCACGCTCCTTCTTGCGTGTCTCAATCTTCCTCAACTCCTGGATCAGGTATTCCTCTTCTGCCACCTAAAGGAAGGAAAAAGTACATATTCATCATGAAGTACATATTCTAAATGAGATAAAGCTTAATCTAATCCACAATCAAAACAAGCGATCTATTCCATCTCGATTTTCTCAGCTTCTTGTTCAAAACGTTGCTTTTTTATGAATCTTGCCCACATTCAAGTGGGCAAGTGGTCTGGGTCTCTTTATTATTTTGATATATTGCATGTTCAGATATTCATACAAAAAATATTCTGGGGGCCATACATTTTTTTTAAATGATTGTAAAAAAATCCAGGCACTGGCTGGCAACTTTGTTTTGTTATGCTGGTGGGGAAAGGGTTAAAGAGACCATTTATACCCTTTCACAGTATCTTTTTGATTTTGTTTTAGGAGTTTACTAGGTTTCATGTTTGAATGTTCAATTTTACATTGTTGCAGGCAGCACCTCCCGGTCTGTCAATATCGATCTGTCTCTATGAAGCTCCTCCTTCCAAAAGAGCAATATGCTTTGATAGGTTGGTTGGACCACTGTGTTGTGATTGGTCAACTGCTTTGAGCGCGTTTTGGAAATGTCACACCCTTTCCATAACTCAGTTTCAACACAGTACTAACGCAACTCAACCAGGATCCACTCCTCTATTTTGCATATGCCATGCCTTGAGTGAAAATTACATAAATGAGGAATATTGTGGCGTGCACATTCTTGGAAGAAAACTTAAAAATACAATCAAGGCGTTTCAGGCAGTTCAGAAACGGTGCTTGCTGTTTAAGCATAGTAAAAGTCTATATCAGTGACATTACTTACTAAAGAAGAATGCAAAAAATCTTCATAGGTCCTCTTTAAAACTAACCCTAATACGTCACTGTTTTAATAACTGTAATATGCAGATTGTAAAAAAGATGAGCAGTCTCACCTGTTCTGGAGTGCGGTTGAAAAGTCTCTCGAGCTGCTCTTTCCTGCGTCTCTCATGACCAGCATCAAAGATGTAGATCTTGGGCTCAGTTCCTGTTCCAGCCCGAACCTTTGTTAGTTTGCCGCAAATGCTGTAATAACGCTCTTTAAGATCCTCCGCAGAGCGCTTCTACAATTACATTGAAATCAGGGAAGAAATGGGATTAGAAGAAAGCAAAATGTAATGTGGTAAAATTACTTTTTATGAGAATCATGAGGAGGAATTTACTCTGTACTGTTGGTGATCATAGCGATCATGGATGACAATAAACCTCAGGTCGAAACGTTTACACAAGTCAAACAGGTGATCCGTTTCAGCTTTCGTCCATCCGTCGTCATGTAGATACATCTGATACTCCTGCTCAGAGTACACGGGCACCTGCACAGTCTATGAACAGGATAATATTTTCAATAACATGGAAGGAGAGGAATTTCAAAACAAGAATATAACACAATCTCTTCTCTCTTTCCTCTACTAATATCATTTTAACAATCTTCTGTTTTTCTAACCTTGTTGAAGCGAGCAAACGGGTAGTCCTTTCCCTCTTCTGCTGCTCGTCTCCAGTGATGGAAGATGGCTCCATCTTTTCTGGCTGGATTAGAAAAGGGCATCCACTTCCAGGGCCGCACCTTCTTACAGCCCAGTTTCGCTTTCACGGTCCGGTAGCCTTGCGTAGTATCACTCGGTAACAGGGGAGGGGCATCCCGACTGAAAAAAAAGAAAACGTTAATGATATGTTGTCATGTTTCAATTTATCAATATCAGCATCCATGTGCAGCATTCAGGGCTCAGCTATAAGGATTTTTAATACAGGGCTCAACAATAAGGATTTTTATGACAACCTAGTCGGACCAGTAGACAAAACTAAATATATTTAATTTTTAGTAACATATTTTTATTTGAAACTCAAGATTATATATATACACATACACTACTGTTAAAAAGCTTGGAATCTTTAACTTTCTTTTTTTCAGTAAGGATGCATGATCAAAATTAACAAGATTTTGGTCCTTAACCGTATCCCACCTCATAAAGTGTTTCGTAATACAACATGAACACGGTAAGTACATTGTAGGTATTTTTGATGCAAGTACATAGCAGTTAGACACCTAAACAAAAAGTGTAACCAGATTTCTAACTCAATGCTGTTCTTTTGAACATTCTATTCATCAAACAACCCTGAAAAATGTGTCACAATTTGCACAAAATATTAAGCAGCATAACCAAACCAGTTTTCAACATTAATAAGAAATTATTCTTGAGCAGCAAATCAGCATATTAGAATGATTTCTGAAGGGTCATGTGACACTGAAGACTGGAGTAATGATGCATTGCTGACAATTCAGCTTTGTCAAAGGAATACAATAAAATGTAAATATATTAAAATAAAAACAGTTATTTTAAATTATATTACGTTACAATAACAGTACCATTTTTATGTATTTTCGATCAAAAAGATGCAGCCTTGGTGACCATAATAGACTTAAAATAAATAAAAAAAACATTACAGAACTTTTGAATGGTAGTGTTAAATGAAGTATATTTAGCCTACATCTCAAAAATAAATGTATTTGATTTTTAATTTGAATTTTGAAGATTATGATAGCTATAAACTCATACAAACCCTGTTGTACAATTGATATAACATGTTAGTCAACAAGATCAAACTATAAATGATACTGTACATACAAACAGCAACAGAATCTGCTGCTTCTCATGGAAATCAATTTTTTAGAGGGCAATGCAAATAAACTCTCAAATAATGGTGTCAAACAGTGAGGTAAAAAGGTTGAGCCAAGACAGCAGCACTCTTACTTTTTGTCTGAATACAGCAAGGCATAAACTTCTCTATGCATTCCTTCTGGTCTCTTGAAGGTTAATGTCTCTGTTACTTTCTTGGCTTTTTTCTACAGAGATAAAAAGAATGAGAATTGTCTCAATACATAGCCAAGACATATGTCACAGACACATCCATCTATATGAATTCAAAAGTTCGCTGGTGTTGTTGTTTCTCTCTGCCAGGTTACCTTGTCTGAGTTGATGAAGTCCTTCTTGCTGATGGGTCCTGGATCATTGTCTCCTCCTGTCAGCTCCAGAATATCCCTCACGTCAGCACCGGTAGCCATGGTGAAGGACTAATAGTTTAGACAGAATGATTAGCAAAGAGAAATGGTTACTCTGATACTCTGAAATGGTTGGTTTGCTTTTGAAAGCAGACAAATAAGACGCATCTCTTTGTTATGAGAACTGAAAGAACCACTGGCAGCATTAGATCTGACAACGATCATGATAACAGTATCAAACACAGACAACACATCAGGGTTAAATGTTAGAACTTGTTTGCTGGGTCTGTGTGAGCTAGTAACGTCAGATAGAGAAATAAATTGTAGCTTATAAACTGAGCCTGAGCGCTAACTCGAATCTCGGAATCAATGAGCTTAGAGAGGCGGGAACCCCATTGAGCTCAAATAGCACTCTCAGAACTGCATTTACGAACAATAAGGGTAATAGAAGTAACGTTTAATCTTACCTGAGAAAAATAAAAAGCAGCCTGGGTTTCTACAATGTGTGTGTGGTCTTTATTTGCGTGACAGTGTTAGCTGAAATGCTGCATCTACCGGCGGATGCAGATCTCCTCTTCGACGGCGTGGACTGCTCTGTGCTTCACGACACAGTGGTGTAAATGATCGCCTCCTATCGGACTAAGCGATGTGGTGCATCTACAAGACTGTTCATAAAATCCAAACTACAAAATAACACGTTTTATAAAACATTTATTTTAGGAGCATGGCATTTTTGAGAATATAATAGAATTATGTGAAACCATTCTAGACACTGCAAAGAGGCAACAACAGCAACCCCAAATTATTTTTACCACTCTTACAAAATCAACTTGTTTTAATTTACCAATAAAATCCACAAACAAAAAGTAAGATTTGCATAAAAATGAGAAAAATCTCTTAAGTGATTGATAAAATACAGCATTTAACCACACTACATCATACAAGAATGTTATCCCTGATGGCGTGGTGGCATATCATTTTATTAACATCAAAAAAACAAAGAAAACAATATACTGTAATAACAGTGATAACCAGATCTACATCTTTCATTCATTGACTAGATAGCTATATAGATAGATATATAGATATATAGATAATATGCGTATATTTCCACTACTGTAAAATAGTGTTTAAGTAATGTGTCACTGTTTGATTGATTACAAAGCAATAATTGAAGAGCTGTCATGCGGATTACACCAGTTGAAAAATTGTTTTTAAAGAAATAAAATTGAAATAGAATTGAAAACAAAAAAAACTAAAAGCATTTCACAGTTTCACACATCACTTTCATGCCTCCAAATATGTTCTTTCCCTTGAATTACAAGAAGGGCAGTTTAATTTTTGTGCGGACGTGGTCTCGCTTGAGCTCTCTTTCCCTGAGATAGGCCTGCAGCTTGTCTGTAGAAAAACAAACCACAGAGTCGCTGTGTTTGGAGGGAGGACGGTCTCCTTGAATCCAGGGGTTTTGGAGGGACTCTGCAGCTGTTGGTCTTGCCCTGATGAAACATGGAGCCACATGAAAAACTGCCTACAGTACGTCCACATACTAACTGATTCAGTGTGAAACAGACTATAGTGTAATTTTCATATTTAATCTGACATTAATTTGCTTAAAGTTTAGAAACAGGATATATTTAACAACTGTTTTTCTTACTGTATGTCTATTGATGGGAAGTCATAAATATAATAATACTATTTGTATCTTATTAGCTTTCTGGCATTCCATCAGTATCATCAAATTATGACATGAAATCTCATTGTCTGTTATTTGGATATAAAAAATAAGCAGTCTATGAATTTTACCAGGCTTTGTTGCTCATGGTGTTCTTCATGAAGTTGATGGCTCCCTCTGAGAGACCTGGGTAACAACGACTGAACTGGATCTTTCCTTTTTTGATGTTTCGATCCCTCTCCCAATTTATATCAGCATGAAAGGGACTGTCTGCACTCAACCTACAAGGGGAAAGTTAAAAAACATTGAGGAAATCAGTTGACAATGGCTGAACAATAAGGATGCCCTAATGGCCATGTCACACTCTTCCTTATACGGTTACAGTTTTACTGAATGAAAGTACTTACATTATAAAAGCCAAAACACCAACAGCCCAGATATCTGTTTCGGGTCCAACTCCTTGTCCATCCAAGATTTCAGGAGCTTTAGGAAGGACAATATAAACTAACAAACAGAACAGAAAATATTTTTTTCATAAACTAAATTAATTTTTGATAAGATACTTGACTACTTTTAGATACTTGTTTTCTATAAAGATGCCAAGAAGCTGAGAAAATGTATAACACAGACACATTACCACTTTAAAGTTTGAGGGTAGTAAGATTTTTTCAAAGAGAAAGAAAATAAAATTAGTACTTTTATTCAGCAAGGATGCATTAAATTGATCAAAAGTAAGAGTAAAGACTTTTATCATGCTAAAATATCTATTTGAAAGAAATGCTGTTCTTTTGAATGTTCTATTCATCAGAGAATCCTGAAATGTATTTATCACAAAAATGTATCACAAAATATTAAGCAAGTACAACTGTTTTCAACAATGATGATCATAATAAGAAATGTTTCTTGTGCGGAAAATCAGCATTTTAGAATGATTCCTGAAGGGTCATGATACACTGAACACTGAAGTAATGATGCTGGAAATTCAGCTTTGCCATCACAGGAATAAATTACATTTTAAAATATATTAGAATAGAAAATAGTTATTTGGAACTGTAATAATATTTGACTAATAATATTACAGTTTTTACTGTATAAGTGATCATATGAATGCAGCCTTGGTGAGAGAAGAAACTACTTTCAAAAACATTTAAAAATCTTCCAGACCCTGAACCTTTAAATGGAAATGTATAACGATTGAATCAAAGCAAAGTTTTGAAGTGATGTGAAACAGACTTACCTTTATTATCTGTTGTTTCTTTGATGTGTTCGATGTTCAGCGCCTGTCCTGGAGTGAAGGGCTGAGCGGAGCCCAAATCAACAATCTTCACTACATTTCGGCCTGTCACAAGCATGTTGTCTGACTTTAGGTCCAGGTGTACAATGCGTCGGCTGTGCAGGTAATCCACAGCGCTCAGAATCTGCTCTAGTAGGTCTGTCACATGCGTTTCTGAATATAGATTCCTGTATACCATCAAGAGTAAATGATAAGGTCATTTATATTTATAGTGGTAAGGTCATTTATTTATATACTGATTTTCACTATTATCTTTAAATGTGGTGATATAATTGACAAGAACACTTAAAAGAGTATTATTCCTCACCTTTCTGCAAGGTTATAAAGAAGCTCTCGCCCTGAGCACAGCTCCTCTATAAGTACGAGGCAGGAGGGGGTGAGGATGGCCGACTGCAGCTGGACGATCCGAGGGTGACTCAGCCGGCGAAGCAGTTGATATTCCCTCAAAACCAGTTGCCTCTGTTCTGGTCTGTAGTGGGTTATCTTAGCTGCCAACATCTGAGAGCTGCGACTATCCTCACACTGTGTTACCACACTGAAACGGCCTCTGTCAAATGAAACAATATTGATTGTGTTTATTTATTACTTTTTGTCACTGTCTTTGGCATCAATAATTATGTCAGGATTGTAAATAAAGGCAATCGATGTTAATAATAGTTTTGCAGTTTAAATACTGTCCCATCAAAACCCAACAGGGTTAAAACACACTGATCTAATTAAAACCAACAACAAATTTGGAAGTGTTTGGTGGGTCAATGTGATCTAGTGGTTCTCAACCAGGAGGCCTTTAAAAACTTCCAAGGGGGCTTCAAGATGTCTTGAAATAAAGCATGAAAATTAGCTAAAATAACAAAAAAAAAAATCTTATTTCTTATTATTTGGTTATTTTTTTACAGTACCTGTTGATTTCAGACAGGAATTTATAAGACTTCTCAGTGCCAAGACCCCCAGGTACAGTGACCTTTGACCCAATAGATTCCATCTGAATGAGAGGATTGTGAGACTCTGCAAAAACAAAATAAAAGTATTATGACACCTTGATTTTAATTTCTTAAGTAAACAGTCTAATATGAATCTGTTATAATGCACATTCCATTTCGTATAATAGAGAGATTGCATTATATTTAAAGATGTTCATTTACAAACACTAAGGTTGACGGTTCAATTCAAAATGTGTGAGTGACCCAGAAACAGGACATTTACAGAGATCTCATTTAGGGTGTGGTAATAAATCATTACTTTGGATACAACAAAAGAATTATTTTCGGAATGTTGTACCTTCATAAGGAGTGGCCATAAAAGCAGGTGGTGAAGGGTCACTGAATGGTGCCAACCCTGTCTTGGTGTTAAATGACACTCTGAATATATATCCCGGTCCTCTGGGAAGGGTATTAGCAGTGAAACAGCTGTCTGTGACATTCTCTGACAATGTTCTCCACTCCCCACCTATTATAAAGGAGAATAAATTATTTAGGAGGATTTAAAAAAAAAATCATGCTGAAATACAATAAAAATGCTCATAATACAGGATGAGTTTGATTTTAATCTGAGTCTTTAAGATATATTCTTACCATTTACACTATACTGAATACAATACTTGACAAGGTCTTTGGACGGCACAGGTTTCCAGAACACAAGAGCTCCACCCACTGCTAGCTGAATGACATCTGGCCTGGATGGTTTGACTGGAACTTCTGGTAGAATATTAAAAAACGACTGAAAACTTTAAACAGCTTTATAAAAATACACTTACATTCAAACTTTTGGAGTCTTTAAAAAAAAAAAACCTAAAAAATAAATAAAGGATCATGTGACACTGAAGAGTGGAGTAATTCAGCTTTGCCATCACAGGAATAAATTATATAAGTTGCTTATGCTCTCCAATACTGTTTCTTTCAAAAAACTTTACCCCAAACCTTAAACTTTTAAATAGTAGTGTATGTACTGCATCATAATTATATGTAAAAGTCTTTTTTTTACATTGTGTTTGTTGGAATTAATGATACACAATAAATTATTAAATGCAGATTAGCAAAACAAACATACCTTTGGTTTTCTTAAATATCGGTATTTTCAGCGAGAACAATTTGGACTTCTTTTGAGGACTCTCCGATGAAGTGGCAGCAGGAACTGGGCCAGGGTGAGTCAAATTCTCTGGCACGACAGGCGAAGGGTTCTTCACAATTGGTCCTGCTAGAAAGAGTTGATTTTTTGACAACTGTACGGTGAAGTATCTGCTATTCGATATTACAAGTGTTAAAGCATTAAAAGCAGCCTACCGCCTTTCTTCTTCTCTACATCATCCATGCTGCACTGTCGGGTGAACAGTTTCGTAATGCTAGATGCTGAAGATCTCATCTTCTTCCTCAGGGTTAGAAGAGGGGTCTTGGGCCGTGTGGATGCTCCTTCTGCCTGTTTCTTTTCCAAGCCCTCTAGCTGAGGAGAAGAATGGCTAGCCCACGAGTGCTTGCGGAAGATCTTCATGAATCCAGGCTTGGGAGATTTCCCACTCGGGGGCTTGTCTTGTAGAGCTGGGGCTGAGGCATATCTTTGGAGCACCTCTTTGCTTTCTTCGCCTGCAACCACAGCCTGGACAGGAACTGCAGAGGAGCTTCTTCTCAGAGGAATGCCGCTCTTATGTCGGATCTCATTTAATCCAGAGCTTGAACTGAGAGAGCACGGAGATGTTTTTCCAGAGGATCCAGCGATCAAGATCTCACCGTGTTGCTGTTTGTGAGAGAGTTCTTCATATGAGCCTACCCTGCTAGATGCCTCTGAACCGTGGTCAAGCGAGCATGCTAGCGATGATAACTGTGAGCCATCCACGCTCTCCTCATCACCTAAATGTGCTGCTTCTGTTTCCATGATCTGCACTTGTACGTCATCCTCACTTGAACTTTTCAAGACTGGCTGATGTCCTTCTTCGAGCTCATGGACCTGCGCTCTCACCTTCCTCATAACAACGGGGCCCTTTTTCGACAAAAACGCAGAGCGACGGAGGAGTGTCCTTCTCACTTGGACTTCTTCAGTTTTGGCCTCCTCTTCATCAGTGGCGTCCGGCTTCTGGCTAACTTCGACATCAGGCTTGTTTTCTCCCTGCATGATTGAAGCTGGAGAGCGTTGCATGCACACATCTAATGATCTGCTTCTTCTCTGGGTGTGTATGTTTGGATGGGCAGCACTCACTCCACTATCAAACGAGCTGGACTTGAGGATAGACGAATGCATTGATCCTCTTCTTTGGTTACGATTAGCTTCTAAGTCTGGGGAATCTTCTACATACTCTATTAGGGGCTCGTTCAACCTACCAGAGAGGCTGGCGCGGAGGGGTTTCCGGCCACGCTCTTGCTTTTTAGCTTGGATTTTATCCCGCAGTGTCATGTGACGAGCAGATATGGGTGAGAGCTGCTCGGAGCTGCAGTAAAAAGTGCTCTTGATGAGGCTATGACGTGGTATGGGAAGCTCACCAGCCAATTGTTCATCTCCCTCAGAGAGGTGAAGAGAGGGGCTACTGTCCCTTTTCTCCAAGCTTATCGGCTCTGGTGATGGTGAGTTCATGGGAATCACCAGCGGGCTAGTGTGAACGCGGCCCTTACCAATAAGCACATCTTCCTCATACTGTTTTAAAATTGTGGGCGTCTTTGACACATGAGCGTAGGGGTCATATTCATCCTCTTCTTCCAAATCATCTTCATCCTCTTGGCTCGCCTGCTGGAAGAAGTCCCAGGCATCAGCCTCATCATAATCTGAAGAGGATCCACTACTTAGCGAGGTGCTGCTGGGCTCCAGGGACTCCTTTGCAGCTGTAATCGAAACATCACGCAGAGGAGCCTCCAATAACTCTGGGATCGGTCTCAGAGTCAGAACCGAGCCGAGGCATGTTAAAGAACGCTGAAAGAAATGGAAACAAGCATGGGTAAGAGTAGGAAGACATGAAAGAAGAACATTTTCCTGGACAATCAGATTTAAAATCATACCTGCCATTTTCTTCTTGAAATAAAAGATTTTAGATTTTTAGTATTTATGTCCTCTGGTTCTTCATCTTCATAATAGCCCTAAAAATAATTACATTTATAATTTGGTAATTAAAATAATTTGGTTTATAAACTGATGGTATCTGATGGTATAGATATATATATGAAACCACCTACCTGAAACCACTCGTGACTCAAACATTCAGATGCAGATGGTCTCACTCTGTGAAGGTGGAGCAAAATAACTTTATCAACTGCTGCTCACAAAAACAAATACACCAATGTAAACAGATCTTACTCTGGGTCGGGCTGTAGAACCCTATGTAGGAAGTCCTGTGCCTCCACACTTCTGCTTGTGATCTCAGGAGTGTCCCAGTACAGCAAACCCTCAGCAACCTTCATCAGTGTGGCACGGTCGTTCTCCCCGAAGAAAGGACAGTGGCATGTTAAGCTTCCCAAAAAAAAAACAACAACAACAACAACAACATTATTTTCTACCAATACATACATATATTTTTTTTCTTTTCTTTTATAGCCACATAAAATTGCAGCAAACCTAAATGGAAAATATATGCTGGCTTCATGCCTTCAATGCACTTACCATAAGTAAGTAACAACACCAAGAGACCTGAAACAAATCAAATATCATTCACCAATAAGTAAAAGACAGAACTGAATTTCTGAACATGACAAATTTGGTTAATTACAATTTGCAACAAGCCCCAAAATTGTATACCAGATATCAGTGGCTACTGTCACAGGTTCTTGGTGGACAATTTCTGGAGCAACAAATTCTGGTGTCCCAAACACACTGTACTGATGTCTGGAGTTGTCAATTTCCTGGCAGAATCCAAAGTCACAGATTTTGATGTCTTCTCTATCAGGGGACACCATTAGGATATTGTCTGTCTGAAGAGAAAAGATTTTTTTAAAAGTTACACAGAATTTAAGAAGGACGACCAGGTCAGAAGATGTTGACTCTTTACCATAGACACCAATTGGTCCAATTTTAGAAAAGGACTGTCGGTGACTGTAAAAGCTTTTAGCAAACCATCAGTGAAATTGAATGTAATATATACAATTTTAAATGAATGCCACTTAATAACTTACTTTGATATCAAGATGTAGAATGTTCATACTGTGTATGTATCCAATGCCCTCCAGAACCTGCTGAATATATAACTGAACCTAAAAACAATTAATGATCATTAGAACTTTTGCTTTATTTGTGTGTGAAAGTGTGACTGAAATTCAATGAATTATCAATATTACCTCCCTCTCTGTAACCAATCCCTTTAAAAACAAATGATCTAGTAGCCCCTGTGTAGAACATCTGTGGGAGGGAAAAAAGAATGCTACATATTCAACATATTCGATTAATGATTTATTAAAAGCAAAATGATAATTATTGACTAATTTAACAAAAGTACGAAAACTTGAATCCTACAATTCTAAAACCAACACCAGGGTGCGTCTTGTGGAGAAAAAGTCCAGGAGGCATGCGAGTCTGCGGTGAGCTAGACGGGACAGCAGGTCTCTCTCCTGGAACGCTCTGGTTCGTGTGCTGCTTCTGAGTGGAAGGAACTTGGCAGCAAAACATTCGCCAGTCGCCCTATGTGTTACTTTTTTAACCACTCCAAATGTGCCCCTAGTTATCCACAAAAAAAAAAAAACAGATAAATGTTAATAAGTTCTGTAGTGAATGTCATAAAACAAATCAAAATATACATTAACCATAAGATTTGACAAAAAAAAAGTAATGTTAGATTACATGAACCTCAATTCAAGATTGAGTTGGTATTCATTATAAATCAGTGAGCTTTTAACACCTTGATTGAGGATATTACCTTCCTATTTCTTCATAAACTTCATATACAGAATGTAGTTTCCGTCTTTTTCCAAATTCCACTTCTTTCTCCTCCTCGATTTCATCTAGACCTGAAAAAGGAATTTAAATTTCATTTCAGTACGGAAACATATAAATAAGATTTTTACAGATAAAATGGAAGGAAATAATAAATCTCTACAACTCACCTGTATCAACACAGAGTTTAGCTTGGCAAGATGCTTGTCCTACACTGTTGCTAGCTATGCACGTATAGGTGCCACAATCCTCTGTTTGAGCATCCAGCAAAGTGAGAGAGCAACGTGCACTACTTTGGACTATTTCTGTGTACTCATTGGATGAGATTTCCTTGTCATCCTGCAGAAAACCAAATATGTGGATTCTACTGCAGTAAATACAAGTTAAGGTTTATTGTGTATCCATCTCAAAATAAGTACATCAGTGTGCATTGTTACTATTTTGTTCTTATAATACCTTAAACCATTGAATGTCTGGTGTGGGTTGGCCAGTAATAATCGCAGAGAACGTCACAGCCTGACCAGGCCGGACTGTCAGGTTTTCAATGGCCACTTGCACAGCTGGAGGCTCTATGAAAATAAATGATGGATTGACAAATTTCTCTGGTGATAATTTTTCACACAAATTGTTTAAAAAACCGCATACAGTATTTACCTGTCAGCAGCTCCTCTGTTTTTGAGTAAAAGTGTTCCTCAGGGTCCATGGGTCCCTCTAACTGTGCTCCCTGGACCTGCCTCTCCACATCATCCTGTTCTTCAAGAGCGTGTTTATCTTCATCGCCAGCAGCAGGTCTTCAAAAGCACACATTTTAAACCACAAGACATTAAAACAAAATTATAAATTCACCTGAATTTCACTGCCTTTATGTATAGTTTAAGGATACTGCATACATGCTGTACACTATGGTTCTTTAAGCAATGTTTACAGCCCACAGACAACACAGGGTGTATGCAAACTCACAGTTCAGGGTATCCAGGCTGAAAGAGTATATGAAACAGGTTCTTCACAAAGGAACTGGACCAACCTTCTGATTGGGACTCTATTTGAAAACAATTGAGTAGTCAAACTTTTTGATTTGATTTTACATCCACTAACATTCAAAGGTTTGGAGTCAATGTGTTTTTTGTTTTTAAAGAAATTAATACTATTATTTAGCAAGGAAGCATTGATCAAAGGTTACATTTAAGACATATGTTGTCTTAATGTTACAATGTTAAATGTATTTCCACAGTATTTCAAATAAACGCTGCTCTATTGATTAAAGAATCCTAAAAAAAAAAACTGCAATGTTTAACTGATAAGAATAAGAAATGAGTAATACAAGTAAATAAATAATAAAACAAAACTGCAGTTTTATCAATAATACAACGGTTCTTTTATTAATAATGCAACTTATTAATGCAACCTAAAATAATTCTATAATTAATCACTAAAATCTGTGGTGGAACAGTCAGGTTCAAACAAGGAATGTAAAGGGATATTTGTTTGCATTTCTTCTCTAAACCCAATAGTGAAATAACAAAGTCACTTACCGTGAATATGGCAGGTATAAAAACAGCCTTTCCCAACCAGTGTTTTAAGTTACAGATCACATGTATAGACAATCACATTGCCTCACAGGAAGTGCAAAAGGGCCACTTGGCCGTATCTGAAGCAAGGCTTGAGGCATAGCACAAAACCAGCTTTGAAGATGGACATGGCATGTTAGCGGAGCATGCAATGACGAGGAAACCGTGAGAACATGTATATAAAGAGATTTGAGGAATGGACAAGGAGAAGAACAGAGACAGAGAGAAAGGAGAAAGGGAGAGGACCATACATGCAACATGTTGGGGCATCTTTGTGAAGACACTTACATGATGATTTTGATCAGATCTTTAGTCTCCTGCTCTGTAACTAAAGAGGAAATGGGATGGAAAGTGTGGTGTTAAGCAGGATATGGAAATGCATGAGATGGACCAGTGTTCAAAACCTGCTTATGAACCACTTAAAGTACGTAGCCTATGTGGCATAAATGAAAACATATGACCACATAGGTATGATATAGTGAAGAATTCATTAAAATGTATGATATATGAAGTAGCATGCAGTTTCTTTTAAACTCAAATGAATTAAAGACAACTAAAATTAAACAAACCATACTGTTCAAAGTTTGGGGTTAGTAACACTTGTTTTTATGGTTTTATTTATATACTGTATATAAAAAGAAATTAATCCTTTTGTTCAGCATGGACAAATGTAAATGTCTTGACTGTTGACTTCAATTTAATATTTGTAATAAATTGTTCTTTGTACTCATCAATGAATCCTGAAAAAAGAAGCACTCTTTCCACAAAAGTATTAAGCAGCAAAACCATTTTAAACATTAATATAAGAAATAATAAGATTATTAGACAAAAATAATAAGAATAAAATTTCTTGAGCACCAAATTAGCATTTTTGGTATGATTTTTGCAGAATCACGTGACACTGAAGCCTGGAGTAATTGTAATACTATTTAAAAATAATACCGTTTTGCTTTATTTTTGACCAAATAAATATAACCTTGTTGAGATAACAAAGATAATTCAAAAACATTAAAAAAATTCTTACCAACCTCAAACTTTTAAATAGTAGTGTATATGTACACTAAAAATGTTATATTATAATGTAAGTAGATGTTTCCAATGACACAATACAATGGATATGCCTCTATGACAATGGCCGATGATCTTTTTGATAGTTTGAGTGAACCCATGAAATGTTTGTTCTAGACCAAGAAGATATTGAATATGGGAAACGGCACAGCATCATTAAACATATGATTTTACATACGATTCCATTCTACAGAGCTAGTTGTTAGAGTGAAATGGACATTTAGAAGATCTGGAGTTTCAGTGACGAAACATGAGGAATGGGTGGGAACGAGAGCAGTTGAAAGTGACTGTGGTATGTGCTCATTCAAAGCCTCCTGGTGCCCACTAGTTTTTAGTGGGCGAATGCACGCACTCTCTGCCTTAAATAGTAATTGCTGTTCACCTTCTCCTTCGTCCTACCTGGAGCTGGGGTGGTTTGTGATTGTTTTTGGGTGCTGACCGTCACAGCTAATGGTGCTGGAGGGCAGAGTTCAGCTTTACACTTGGCACTGCCCACTTCATTCAGTAGCTGTATCATAAATACAAAAAAAAGAGTATTGGGATTCATATATGACACGACGAATAAGTAATCGAAAAGTAGTAAAAGGCTCTGGTACCTCACACTGGTATTGACCCAGATCTGCCTCTTCTGCTGTCTTTATGGTGAGAGTGAGAATTCCTGTCTGGACATCAGATTGAATCAGATGTTTCCTGGTGTTTTCAAGTTGAACGCCATCCTTAAACCACCTGTACATATGAATTGTGTAGGCTCTTTTATAACCATATACGTCATTACATTCATTTGAGTGGATGAAACCAGTTTTACCTTATGGATGGTAAAGGAGCAGATTGTGTGGAGCACTTGAACTGCATATCTTGTCCCTTCACAAGCACTGAGTTCTGTAGTCTTGTTGTGAAACTTGGAGGCACTTTGTGAAACAAAACAACATGCTTTTTATTAAGTTTTTGGTGACAAATTCTTTTCTGAAATGTTTTGGGGTCAGAAAGATTTATTCATATTTTTGATAGAAGTCTCTTATGCCCACCAAGGCTGCATTTATTTGATCAAAATATGATAAAAACAGTAATATTGTGAAATATTATTACATGTTCATATAACTTTTTTATTGTAGCCCTCAAACCGTATTCACTTTATAGCCCTTAATCCTGTAATTGTGGACAAATGTGGGCACAGAGCACTCAGGTGTGATCCTAATTTTTATTTATTATAAATGTTAAATCACTGTCTTCGATAAAGTTTTTTCAATCCATTTATGGTGTTTTTTTTATTTTAGGGGTATTTTTGTATTTATTTACTTCAAAAAGTACCACTATTTTCTATGTAAATTATGCTTATTTTTATGTTTTATTTTTTAATTTTTTTTAACTACATTAAAATATCATTCCAATAAGTTCTTAGAGCTAAAACCTAAAGATGAAGTGATTTTCCTGTCACCTGGTGTCTTATTTTGGCTTATTCTAGAATGCTCTAAATTACAGTTTTTCCCATTCATTTCTATGGGTGCCCATTTTTGACCCAAATGCAAGATTAAGTATTGAGTTTTTTTCACCCACTTAACATTGTAGAATTGAGTCAAAAAAATAGTGTGTGTTCAGGAGGCAAACTTAGGAAAAGTAGCCAAGTCTTGTACCGCTCAGATCAAGGGAAGTATTTTTTAAAAAATAAATCTAAACTGTTTTGCCCAGTTGTTTTCCATTTGTCCAGAATACAGATTTAGGGTTAATATATATTTTTTAAATATAATCTATTCCTGTAATGGCAAAGCTGAATTTTCAGCCTCATTACTTCAGTCTTACAGAGTCACATGATCCTTCAGAAATCATTCTAATATGCTGATTTGGTGCTCAAGAAACATGTTTTATTATTATTAAATGTTGAAAGCTTTTTTGCTGCTTAATATTTTTGTGGAAACAGTCAAATGAATAGCAGTTTAAAAGTTCAAAAAACACAATGAAAAAGTCTTTGCTCTCACTTTTGATCAAATACTGCATCCCAGCTGACTAAAAATATTAATTTCTTTAAAAAAAAACAACTGATCCCAAACTTTTTAACAGTAGTGCATATGCAAGATATATGAATGTAAATACATGCAAAAACTAGAAAAGCATGGCAATAACAACCATTTCTCAAAATCCATACCATCAATCATGATATTAGCCAGAGTGCTTGCGTTCCCAGCAGGATTGGTTGCATAACACATGTATTGACCTGAGTCCACCACGGTGACACCAGTCAGTACAAGATAGCAAGCACCCAACTGTCCTTCTGATGTAATGTGATGTTCGTCATCCTTCACAGGATGACCATCTGAGGAAAGCACGTCATCAGCAGAATCCATTTTTAATTAAATTTAAACTGCCCATTTATTCACACATACATAGTATCATTTACCTTTATACCACTTTATTAGTGGTTTTGGTGTGCCAGTGACCTTGCAGACCAGTTTTACAGTTTGTCCAAGCTTTGCTGGATAGTTAGTAAGATGTTGCTCAAAGCACGGGGCACCTGCAAATATAAACAAAGAGGTGTGGATGCAATCATTTCAAGAGGTCAAAACCGATTTATTCATATGTGTGCTCTCCTGTGTCCAAACTTACTCCAAGCGGGCTGTTTGCTGCGCTGCTGCAGGTCTCTCAGATCTTTGAGCCAAGAGAGGCGGAGGAGGATTGATCGAGCTTGCAAGATAATTTTTCTCAGCATTCCCCGGTGCTCGTGCCAAAGACCAAATGACCTGTCATCTCCTTCCACAGTATCCTTTACATCAATATCACTCAACTGTGAAGAAAGCAAATGTATTTGGAATGGATGTGAAATGGACTGCCGTGATTAGCGCTGCCATGCTATACAAGATATTACATATGCAGTGTACTTTACATGAGTCTTCAATTGCAAGGTAAACTTGAAATTTAGCTGTTTTCACTGGGATAGCATGTAGATTAGACTGTAAAACGTCTTCTCTACTAAAATGCTGTACTTGTAAATGTATAGCAGATTAAACCTTCATTTTATTCTTGAATATGTAGGCCTCGGTGTATGTGGCAAGTTCTCTCTTTGGCTTGCAGAATACAATACAATCTTTAAATAGAAAGACGTGGCGGTGATGTCCTCTCTGAGAGACTTTGACCTCAGGAATCTCCTCCCATACTGTAAAATGGCCCTAGAAAAAAAAAAACACACACACATAACACTATCATTAGCAGAATGACACCTTCCAATTCTTACTCGCACCTGTCATCTTGTCATCTTGCAAACAAAGAGGTTCCAAATATGATGAGGCAGTACCTGTCTAATGGGTTCTCCGAGCCCCTTGAGAGGTGCCGGGTAATTCTCAATCATGGACAGATGATGCAAGTTCTCGGCACGCCAAGGCAAGCTGGAAACCATGGCAAAGGCATCCTCTAACAGGCAACAGTTCTGTTCGCTCTTTGCTTTGTTCCTGATAAGCTCCTAAAAATACAAAAATGGAAGAGAACTACAGTATATGCTGTGTTGAAAGCGATAATTATGGCTGATCTTTTTGCTGTGTTTATACACACTACCATTCAAATATTTGGGGTCAGTAAGAATTTCTTTTGGGGATAGAAATAGATATTTTTATTCAGAAAGGACACTTTAAATTAACAGTAACATTTATAATGTTACAAAAGATTTCTATTTCATATAAATATATTTACTTCTCTTTTGAACGTTGCATTCATCAATATATTTGTGGAAAACACTTTTTAGGATTCTTTATGTACCACCGCTGTTTTCAACATTGATAATAATAATTTTTCTTGAGCGGCAAATCAGCATATTAGAATGATTTATGAAGGATCATGTGACACTGAAGACTGGAGTAATGATGATGAAAATTCAGCTTTGCCATCAAAGGAACAAATTATATAAAAATTTAAAAAAACAAATTGTAATAATATTTAACAGTATTAATGTTTACCACTGATTACCGACTTATTTTCAAAACGGTTGTAGAATATATATATATATATATATATATATATTATATTATATAAGGTGTATGAAAGAAAATGATAAAGCTCTCGCACCTTAAGTACATTCTTGTATGTCTGAATTCTTTCCATGGGTTTCTGCAAATATGTGCTAACATCAAAAACCTGGGTATCCAAATGTGCCAACTCTGTGTTTGCATAATACTGGAACACAGTAGAAGAAGAATGGTTGTTTATTTACTTTACATCATTTAAAACAATGAGCACTTTCTGCCAGAATGAAAACAGAATTTCCCCTTGCCTTGAAAAAATGCTGTGTGTTTTTGTCTGAGATGCAGGCCTCAGCTTGGGGAAGGCCTGTAATGAACTGGAGATACATCTCAAAGTCTGGTGCATAACTGACAAAACACTGGGCTACATCATCATCTGAGAAGCACATCTCCAGCTTGGGGAGAATACAACTGTGATGGAGGAACAGTGGGACAAATAAGTTAACCCACAATGTTAATGAATATAATGTAATGTAATGTAATTTAATTATATTATCTAAAAACGAGATGTCTTCACCATTCATGGAAATTTGCAATATCCCTGATATTACGGAATATGTACTCTTTTTGACTGAGGATGGTGAGAGGAACTTGAAAGCTCGTCTCCAGGTTCTGCAAAAAGTGGTCCACAAAGAAGATCATCTCCTGCACAAAACTGGTCTCGCCATCAAGAAGTCCCTTAATCAAACGACTAGAAGTCAAAAATAAAATAAAGATATAGTCAAGTCTTTTCACAAAACCTGCTAATAGAATATACAATAAATACATTGATCTGTGCATGCTTTCCAGTGTTGTTATTGTTAAACAAAAAATATTAAAAATCATTTTCAGTCATTCAAATTAGGCTACAAAATAAATACAATTGACAAAAACCTAAACTTAAAATAGTTTAACAAATATTAGAGGTGTTGCTTTTGCAACTAACTGAAAAAAAGTTTTAAGTTGAAGTACTAAAATTACTAGAAAAAAAATAAATAAATATAATAAACTAAGAAAAATGACAAAGCACATAAAATTACTAAAACTTCAATGGAAATTAAAAAACTGAAAATATATAAATAATAAAGATATATGAATTATTATAGTAAAATATAATTCAAAATATATAACAAACATGTATATAAATAATACCAGCACTGCACATTCTCAAATTCACACTGTTGCAAAATTCTCTATAGAGGTGTCTGATGAACTTCAGGTTGCCCCGGTCACATTCTAGAACTTTGTCTTTGTGTATTCTATTCAGTTCAGTTTACCTTTGAATCAAGCCATGCTCATCCTTTGTTAACATTGTTTTGCCTTTCTCAGGGGATTCTCCCTTTTCTGCTTCATGTGCCACTGAAAATATTTCCTTTGAAAAAAAAAAAAAAATCAAAAGATAATTAAAATAAATGTAACAACCTTTTACACCAATTCATTGCTATTTAAACTATTCACACAAACATTCACTCACCTTTGTCTTCTTTTCGAGGTACGCCGGGGATACCCAGCCCTGACGGGATGGTGTAATCTTGGTTGGCTTTGTACGGACAAGCCACCTCACGGGATGGGCTGAATCCAGGACCTCCACAAATTGGCCTTCCTTTAGTACAAAAGCTTCTTTGTTTCCTCCCAGCGGATGACAATTGGTTTTGGCCACATAAATATCAAATATCTGTAGAAAGTACTGTACATCAGTGTTTGTTTGTTCTGTTTTCTTTCCACTTGTTCCTAAACCAATATGAGCTACAACATGCACAAAAAGTGCCTATAAATGCATTTTTTTATTACTATTATTGTTAGTTTATTATTAAGAGGCTAATACCTCTCCTCTGGCATCATCTCCATCTGACTCAGAGAATGACTCAGTATTTGCAGAGGACTTGTATGAATGTAGGCGTTTGGGAGATGGTGTGTGACTTTGTAAATCGCAACCTATACCAAATACAAACGCAACAATACAGAAGAGTACAGTATAGCTTTTTAATATGCTCTTGAGTGCATAGTATTTCATTATCTCTGGACTTTACCAAATACCTTGCAGCACCAAGAGAACTGACCTTTCCCTTTCAGCTGGTCTGAAGTCTTTTGAGGATGTAAACTAGCACTTTTTTCCTCTTCAGAAATCTTAGTAGAAACCTTATTTTTTGACTTCTCTGCCTCTTTTCCCCTGTATGAAAACATTAATTTAAATACATTGCAAAGTATTATCCCATAGTACAGAAAAGGAAAAAATATTCTATGCTGCCATCTTTCTTTATACTTAAGAGTCCTTGAAAGGGATTTACAATGTTAAACTTACCCAGATTGGTATTCAGTCTCAACATCAGGGGCTGTGTCATAATCTGAGTAACAGGATACTAGAGAGGGGACAGAATTACAAGAAACAAGCTCAGCTACAGTACTATTGATGTATACAGTAAATATAGTTATCTGCAAATATTAAAGATTTTATCAGCTTCGGTCAATATTAGCTATATTCCTCTGTATTTATGTTAAGAGTACACTACTTAGTTTATCTTTAAGAAAAACTTTTTTAACAAATCTGATATAAATGTTTCATACTGTAAATTATAATGTTGTGATGCCTTAATTTACTTGTAGCATTTACTTATAGCTGCCATTAATCGGTTATCTATCATAACATAATACTAAATAATTATACTTTTATTGGTCTCAGTCCTACTATTGCTACTATTATCTAGAATAATAAACACAACTCACTGGAGCTGACTGAAATTAGACTTCTCCTTTTCTCCTTGATCTTGCTGTAGGTGTCATCTGCCGGTAGATCATAGACGAGTCTCAACGACTCCTCTTCAGTGTTTAGGACTGGAGAAATCTCTTTCTCAGAGACAATTTCTGTGTCTGGTGTTCGTGCAGTCTGACTTGTTTGTGATGGCTTCTGAGGTTTACCCACCATCACATTCCCATTGTAACTAATTGCTCCAAACTTGTTTGCAACTTCACATGTGTAGATTCCAGCATCTTTGTCTGTAACCCTGAAAATTTCCAGAAAACACCTACCATCTGCATTTTGGGTGATTTTGTACCTTTTCCCAGGCCTAAGATCTATTCCATCTTTAAGCCAGCGCATAGTGTCGATTTTACCTTCCACAACACACTCCAGGAATGCTGTGCCACCAAGATCAAGAGTCTGGTTCTTGAACACTTCTTTGAAGACTAGACGCATGTCTTTCCTAGTTTTGTAACCTTTGAAAGCAGCTTGTATCTTAATAGCAGCCTCACGTATCTCGGGCTCATCCTCAAAATCTATATCAACATTATCGTGCTCAACTCGAGAACACTGTTTGCCATTATCCACACTTGTGATCTGCTCTAGCATCGCCTCCTCAGGTTGAATTACAGATTCCCCAGAAACATCTACTTCAATATTGACCTGCTTGACATTTTTCTGATCTCCATTATCTATGTGTGGTAAGTTCGGTTCAACTTTCGGTGACACATCCCTAAAGGACACTGTTGTAGCTTTCTCTGCACGAATTATTTCTTCTTTGAATTTCGGGCTTTTAATAGCAATATTTGTTGCTTTTCCTGTAACATGCTTTGGTGCTTTTCCATGATTTTCATCCACAACCTGCTTAACATTTTCCAGACCTCCACTATCAGTGTCTGGTAAATTCGGTTCACCAACCTGTGAATCTCTCTGCGCATCTCTAACAGACATTGTTGTAGCTTTCTCTACAGAAATAATTTCTTCTTTGAATTTTTGGCTTGCAGTGACAGTTTTTGTAGCTTTTTCTGAAGCATTCTTTGGTACTTTTCCATTATGTTCATCCACAACCTGCTTAATATTTTTCAGATCTCCTCTATCAATGTCTGGTAAATTTGGTTTACCTACATGTGAATCTCTCTGCGCATCTCTAACAGACATTGTTGTAGCTTTCTCTGCAGAAATAATTTCTTTTTCGAATTTTTGGCTTGCAATGGCAGTTTTTGTAGTTTTTTCTGTAGCATTCTTTGGTACTTTTCCATGACGTTCATCCACAACCTGCTTTACATTTTTCAAATCTCCTCTATCAATGTGTGATAAATCTGTTTCACCTTCTAGTGAATCCCTCTGCACATCCCTAATGGTCAATGTTGTGGTTTTCTGTACAAGACTTATTTGCTCTTTGGGTTTCTGGCCTGTAATGGTAATGCTTGGTGCATTTTCTTTAACATTCTTTGTTATTTTTCCTTGATGTCCATCCTTGGACTGAACCTTTTCAATTTCCGGTCCCATTTCAGACTGGACATTTTGCTTCTTGTGCATTTCATTTTCATCCAATGATTTATTTTTTGGTTCCTTCTTTTCATTCACTTTGACAGGATATTCATCCACTTCTGATGGCTTAGATATGGTGTCCACACTTAGCTCTTTCTTTGATTCCTTATTTACACTCGATTCCAATTTGATACACTCCTTTAAATTGTATGTTTGATCTTGAGATGCTTCAACGTGTTTGGCTGTTAACTCTTTGAAGACTGGTGTATCTAAGCCATAATCTGATATCTTTAAAGTGGTATCTACAGTTTCTTTTATGCCCATATCTCGATTCGTTGCTTCCAAAACATATGGTTGCCTTTTGATTTCAACATGTGGCTGGGAAACCTTCTCCTTAGTGAAAGATGGTGCTAGGACAGCATGTTTTGATGCTATTTTGGTCTCCACAGTGGGTTCCATTACAACTTCTTCTTCTACATCTTGTTTCTTCCCCTTCTTGTCAACAGTTGGATCTTTAACACTCTGGTTGTTTGCTTCAAAAACACTGTACTGGTCTTGGTGTGAAGCCTTATTCTTTGACCGTGGTGGAGGCTGGGGAACATTTCTGGGTGGTTCCTTGCTCTTATTATTTGTATCTATGTTTGAAGTTTTCTTCTGAACTTGCCCTGAGATTTTTTCATTGTTCTGGTCCACAGAAACATTAGTAACCTCTTTGGATCCAGTGTCCACCACTTTTTTTCTTTGTTCTTCATTGGTTGTAAGAGAAGTCATTGTAGGTTCTTCCATGGTGCAACTAGACACGGTAACCATTTTGGAACTCGCATCTTTTGCCTTTTGTCTCACCAATGATTCCCTCTTGACGTCCTGGTCACCTGTCAGTTTCTCACACAGATCCTGGAAATGAACCTCTGATGCCTCCAAGATAGAGATGTCTGATTCCTCAATGACCTCAGCCTGTTTCTTATGCACTAGACCAATGTGTGTTTCTTCCATAATTTTTTGCCCTTTTGATCTTAGTGGGGCTTGGGGGATGTCTTTACTTTTAGAGGAAGCTTCTGATGTAAATAATGGAAATGCAACATTACTTATTTATTTTTGTTTTTGTATTATATTTAATTACTAACTTATTTTTAAAATATAGGAATAAATGTACCTTTTATAACAAGAGAAGCTGTTGTCTCCATCCTAGCAGCACAGCATTTGTAGACACCACTGTCCTGACATTTTAAATCATGGATCTGAAGGTGTAATTCAGAGCCATCTTGTTTAATCTCATACTTGTTTCCTGGTTTCAGCAACACTGCTCCCTTTTTCCACTGCACAGGAACTCCGGGTTTAGAGAGCTCACAGGTCAAGAACGCGGTTTCACCTTCCTCAGCTTCAAGACTTTGAAGTCCCTTGCAGAAGTATATTGGTTGCTCTACATGCAGAAGTAAAAATAAAGTTCTTCATGTATGAAAGAAGTTCTACATGGACAAAACATTAGAAACGGAAGATGTTGCACTAAAATAATCTCTGTACTGTACCTTTCACTGTAATTGAACCATTAGTCACCAGGTTCCCAGCACAACATTTGTAAGTCCCGCTGTCCTGAGCTGTTAACTCATGGATCTGAAGTTGTAGTTGATGGCCATCCTGTTTAATCTCATATTTTTTACTTGGCTTAAGCATCACTGCTCCCTTCTTCCACTGCACTGAAACTCCAGGTTTAGAGAGCTCACAGCGCAATATGACTGTCTTACCCTCCTCTGCTTCTTGGTTTTGGAGCTTCTCAGAGAAGATCAATGGATGTTCTGGTGAGGGAAAACAAAAATGCTTATGTCTTTACAAGCTAAACAGAAAAAAGTACACATGAACAGATCAATGAATTGATTCCTCTATTCAAACGACATTTAAATTAATTCCCTTACCCTTCACTTCAAGAGAAGCAGTCGTGACAATGTTACCAGCACAACATTTATAAGAGCCACTGTCTCCAATTTTCAGGTCATATATTTGAAGCTGCAGAAGACAACCATCTTGTTTCATCTCATACTTGTTTCCAGGTTTCAGCAACGCTGTTCCCTTCTTCCACTGCACTGCAACTCCAGGTTTAGAGAGCTCACATGTCAGGGCAGTCACTTTACCTTCCTCAGCTTCAAGGCTTTGGAGGTTCTTGCAGAAAAATATAGGTTGCTCTGGATGTGGGGAAATAAAATACATTTAATATTTTTAAAATGTGTGGTTTTATTCACAAAAAGTATTCTTAATGAATTATCAGAACACCCAGGTTCAATGGCAAGCAATCTTGTCAGAATGGTACATGGAAAGAGTATAAGGTGATTCAGAAGTTTCTCTAAAACACATTCTGTACCTTTCACTGTAAAAGAGCAAGTAGTCACCAGGCTCCCAGCACAACATTTGTAAGTCCCACTGTCCTGAGCTGTTAGCTCATGGATCTGAAGCTGCAGTTGATGGCCATCCTGTTTTATCTCATATTTTTTACTAGGCTTGAGTATCACTGCTCCCTTCTTCCACTGCACTGAAACTCCAGGTTTAGAGAGCTCACAGCGCAATATGGCTGTCCTGCCCTCCTCTGCTTCTTGCTTTTGGAGCTCCTCAGAGAAGAACAATGGCTTTTCTGGAGAGGGAAAGCAAAGTCATATATGCTTTTACATGTACATCAAAAAACAAATTAACACATGATAATATTAAATAATTAATCCTTAAGTCAATTAATTAATTCTCACGATCAAGTTTAAGTTTAAGTTAAGCTTGGCAAAGTACAACTACAAAGATGTATATTTGTTATAAAAACAACATAATACTATCTTGATTTTCATGTTTAGCTTATTTTAATACTTGTTTAGTCTTATTTTAAATCATTTTAAGTCAAATTGAGGGCCCCATAGAGGTTTATTGAGGCCCCCTAGTGAGCCCAGCCCCCTGGTTAAGAACCACTGACTTACCTTTTATCACAAGGGAAGCAGTTGTGACCAGGCTTCCAGCACAACATTTGTAAGTCCCGCTGTCCTGAGCTGTTAACTCATGGATCTGAAGTTGTAGTTGATTGCCATCCTGTTTAATCTCATATTTTTTGCTAGGCTTCAAAAGCACGGTTCCTTTCTTCCACTGCACTGAAACTCCTGGTTTAGAGAGCACACAGTGCAATATTGCTATCTTGTCCTCCTCTGCTTCTTGGTTTTGGAGCTCCTCGGAGAAGAACAATGGCAGTTCTGGAGAGGGAAAACAAAAATATGCATGTCTTTACATGTTCAACAATAAAACCCCACAAAAATAAATGCACACATGAACAGATTAATTAATTATTTCCAATGTCATTCGTTTGTTAAAGTTCAAAATGTGGGAAAATGCCATTTGAAAAAATGACTTACCTTTTACCTCAAGAGAACCAGTTGTGACCAGGCTTCCAGCACAACATTTGTAGGGTCCGCTGTCCTGAGCTGTTAACTCGTGGATCTGAAGCTGCAGTTGATGGCCATCCTGTTTTATCTCATATTTTTTACTAGGCTTGAGTATCACTGCTCCCTTCTTCCACTGCACTGAAACTCCAGGTTTAGAGAGCTCACAGCGCAATATGGCTGTCCTGCCCTCCTCTGCTTCTTGCTTTTGGAGCTCCTCAGAGAAGAACAATGGCTTTTCTGGAGAGGGAAAGCAAAGTCATATATGCTTTTACATGTACATCAAAAAACAAATTAACACATGATAATATTAAATAATTAATCCTTAAGTCAATTAATTAATTCTCACGATCAAGTTTAAGTTTAAGTTAAGCTTGGCAAAGTACAACTACAAAGATGTATATTTGTTATAAAAACAACCAAATACTATCTTGATTTTCATGTTTAGCTTATTTTAATACTTGTTTAGTCTTATTTTAAATCATTTTAAGTCAAATTGAGGGCTCCATAGAGGTTTGTTGAGGCCCCCTAGTGAGCCCCAGCCCCCTGGTTAAGAACCACTGACTTACCTTTTATCACAAGGGAAGCAGTTGTGACCAGGCTTCCAGCACAACATTTGTAAGTCCCGCTGTCCTGAGCTGTTAACTCATGGATCTGAAGTTGTAGTTGATGGCCATCCTGTTTAATCTCATATTTTTTGCTAGGCTTCAAAAGCACGGTTCCTTTCTTCCACTGCACTGAAACTCCTGGTTTAGAGAGCACACAGTGCAATATTGCTATCTTGTCCTCCTCTGCTTCTTGGTTTTGGAGCTCCTCGGAGAAGAACAATGGCAGTTCTGGAGAGGGAAAACAAATCATACATGCTTTTACATGTTCATCATAAAACAAATGAACACATGATAAGATTAATTAATTAATTATAATCAAAATGTACAAAAATGGCAGTTACACTTTATAGTTTAAGTTAAACTTGGCATAACTACAAAGATGTGTATTTGTTATAAAAACAACCAAATACTATCTTGATTTTCATGTTTAGCTTATTTTAATACTCGTTTAGTCTTATTTTAAATCATTTTAAGTCAAATTGAGGGCCCCATAGAGGTTTGTTGAGGCCCCCTAGTGAGCCCAGCCCCCTGGTTAAGAACTACTGACTTACCTTTTATCACAAGGGAAGCAGTTGTGACCAGGCTTCCAGCACAACATTTGTAAGTCCCGCTGTCCTGAGCTGTTAGCTCATGGATCTGAAGCTGTAGTTGATGGCCATCTTGTTTAATCTCATATTTTTTACTAGGCTGAAGTATCACTGCTCCCTTCTTCCACTGCACTGAAACTCCAGGTTTAGAGAGCTCACAGCGCAATATGACTGTCTTACCCTCCTCTGCTTCTTGGTTTTGGAGCTCCTCAGAGAAGAACAATGGATGCTCTGGTGAGGGAAAACAAAAATATCTCAATAATGTCCAACTGAAATTTAAAACAACTGCATTACATAAAAATACACACCTTTCACGTCAAGAGAAGCTGTGGTCACCAAGCTACCAGCACAACATTTGTAGATGCCACTGTCCTGACTGTTCAACTCATGTATAAGAAGCTGTAATTTACAGCCATCTTGCTTAGTCTCATATTTGTTTCCTGGTAGAAGCAACAGCATTCCCTTCTTCCACTGCACGTCCACTCCAGTTTTAGAGATCTCACAGCTCAGAATGGCAGTCTCACCTTCTTCTATTTCTTGTCTTTGGAGCTCCTCGCAGAAATACAGAGGTTGTTCTGGATGCAGAAAATAAGTATATTATGTTTATTAATGTGTATTCTAGCAACTCATCTACATTCAATAAATATATACCTTTCACATCCAGGGATGCTGAGGTCAATAGACTACCAACACAGCATGTGTAGACACCACTGTCTTGGCTTGTGAGCTCATGGATCTGAAGTTGCAGTTCACCACCATTCTGCTTTATTTCATACTTTCTTCCAGGCTTTAGCAGCACAGATCCCTTCTTCCAGTTTACGGCAGCCCCAGGTTTTGAAAGCTCGCAGCAAAGAAAGGCAGTTTCCCCCTCCTCTGCTTCTTGACACTCAAGCATCTTGATGAAGTACAAAGGTTGTTCTAAAAAATAAATTGAAAATAAATAAGCAAATAAATAAGCATTTCATTTTGTTTTTATTTTTTGAATACATATTTAATTATTGTGCTTTTTGTCCATGAACGGTCACTTGGATGCATTCATGAGTTTTGATCAAAGACCTGATGACATTCAGTCAGTGTAAAAATACAAGTCAGCAAGTCAAAAAAAGAGAAATACACACAAACCCTTAGTATGACCCTCTAATGTCACTGCTCTCACCTTTGACTGTAACTGATGCTGTAGTAACCAGGCTTCCAGAGCAGCACTTGTAAGTGCCACTATCCTGACGTGTAAGGTCATGGATCTGCAGATGTGCTTTGCAGCCATCTTGTTTCATCACATATTTGTTTCCTGGTCTCAGTCGTATTGCTCCCTTCTTCCACTGCACTTCAACTCCAGGTTTAGACAGCTGACAGCAAAGGAAGGCTATCTCACCCTCCTCTGCCTCCTGGTTATGGAGTTCCTCACAGAAGAAAAGAGGTTGATCTGAAAAGGGAGAGTAAATTGTTTCGTTTTGTCTTTTAGTAAACATACAGCATAATGACGCCTAAAAACCCAGATTATCATTGTACTGTACAAACACTCTGTTGTAAACCTTTAAGGATGCATTGATATTAAAATTTTGATTGATACCAACAAACCAACAATCATTTTCATGTAGTGTATCTGGACAGCGTCAAGGCGACTCATGCATTCCAACACTTGGAAACCGTTCAAACCCCTGTCTTCGGCCGGTAACTCACAAGTAGGGTGCCAGAGAGCCGGCACCCAATTGCTTTAATTGACATATTTGTGGCATATGCGAGAGAAAAACAAACAACCATAAATTCGAAGGTGTGAGCCTCAAACAGATTTGTATCGTTCAACACCCCCTCCACGACAAGAAAGGAACTCGAGGTGGCCGAAGCGAAGCTCCCCCAAGACGCACACACACACCCATACATAGACTTTTTCATTAACTTCCTCGTGTAAAGACATTACTAAGATATATTTGATGTGTTTTTATGTTTGCAATCTAATCAATACAAATAAAACATTACAGTACAAACAATCAAATATTCAATATCAACTGATACGGATACATTTAAATATAAACCATAACTGTTATGGCATGTTATACTGTACAAACCTACCTTTGACAATAATATTAGCCCGTGTTTCTAGATTGCCAGCACAGCATCTGTAGATGCCACTGTCTTGACTTGTGAGGTCATGGATCTGAAGTTGTACTTCATTGCCCTCTTGGATCATTGCATACTTCTTTCCATTCTTCAGGAGCATTGCCCCCTTCTTCCACTGTATTGATACTCCGGGTTTAGAAAGCTCACAGCTCAAGAAAGCTGTTTCACCTTCCTCTAACTCTAGGTTTTGAAGCTCTTCACAGAAAAACAGAGGGCGCTCTGTGGTATCAGAGGAGAAGAAACAGTGGTAAAACAATGTTCATTAAGCAAAAGAAATGCTTGTATTTAATGAATGGATCTTATAAAGTGCCACTGAATATTTTCACTAATTTACTGACATTCAGTTACAATACAATCAAATACAATATATAAAGACAAGCAATTATTTGGTTCATACCTTTCACAGTAATACTGGCCCTTGTCTCAATGCCATCGGCACAACACCTGTAGGCCCCACTGTCCTGACTTGTGAGGTCATTGATTTGCAGCTGTAGCTCACATCCATCCTGTTTAATCTCATATTTGTTACCTGGTCTAAGCAGAACTGCTCCCTTCTTCCACTCAACTGCAACTGCAGGTTGAGACAGCTCACAGCACAAGAAAGCAGTCTCACCCTCTTCTGCTTCTTGGTTTTGGAGCTCCCCACAGAAAAACAAAGGACGCTCTGAAATCAAGCAAAGAAACCTTAAAGATTCTCTAAGTGATGTCACGTATTTTTAGGCCAAAACATTTTTTGTCACATACAGCAAACATCTCCTCACTATCCACAAGCTGCCTGTCCCCTGAACACACTGTAACAAAACGCCTAACAAACACAAGGATGTAATTATAGAACAATGCAGTCAGTAATAACTTTGGTGAATAAAACGTATGTTTCTAGCAGCTAGCTATCGATCTCTATTGTAAACGATCAAGCAAACTCACAGTAGGGTGACAGTTTGAGTGAATGATTGTTTTCACCAATTGTTTATGAATTTGAATGTTCATTCATAGCCTAGTGGCAACTTTGACTAAATTTGTTTACAATAGAGCCATTGTTTATGCTCACTAGGAAACGCGAAGCTAACGTTATCTTGCTATACTTGTATGGGAGCTAGTTATAACCTCAGGTGACAAAACGTTTTATCATGTTTTTCTGGTAATGTCTAAATTGGTGACATTACACCTTGAATGAAGTATCAGTAAAACTACATGGGGAGGGGACAAGATGAGGAGGAGGAGGGAGGGTCTAGCTAGCCTCAGGAACTATCAATGTATTAATTAAAAAATAAATATTTTGATAAATCACATTTTAAAAATATGACAACACATACTAAAATTGATCAATTAATTATTTTTGAATACAGTTAAATGTATCACATATTATTAATATTAATCATTAATATTAATAATAAATATAATAATGATAATAAATTATTGTTAATGTTGGATGATACATAAAAATGGTAATACATCACGTAAAAAAATAAATAATAATAATAATAAAAAAAATATATATATATATATATATATATATATATAGTTATAATTTTCAAGTCTTTATAGTTAGACCAAATGTCTTTCAAGCAGTTCCTTACCTTTGACTGTAAGAGTAGCACTACTCTGCATGTCTCCTGTATCGCACATGTAAATCCCAGCATCCTCTTTTCTGACTTTGTGAATTAGAAGAATATTTCGTTTCCCATGTTTCAGAGGTTCATACTTTTCCCCGGGGAGCAGGGTTACATTATTTCGTTTCCAGGTTACAAGTGTGCTGGAGTCAGAAGTCACGCAGCACAGGGTGGCAGAATCTCCCTCAAAAATGGTCATGTCCTTCAGGTTTTCTTCAATGAAAACTATAAAGAGAGAATGCACTTTATGACGTTAAATCAACTAATTGCATTTGATATACTTTTCTATATCAATACTGTATTAAAATTAAATGTCTTAGAAAAAAGAAATTGTATCCTTACACTCACCTTTAGGTTTGCTGTTTACACGGAGATGAGCAGAAGTCTTTTCATTTCCCACCACAAAGGACACAACACCTGACTCTTCAGGTGTGGTCATAGTGAGCACCAGCTGGTGTTCTTTGCCACAGATACTCATCTGGTTCATCTCGTTCTCCTGCAGTACATTGGAACCAAGCCACCATACCCTGTCAAGGATGTTCTCGTGTGAAAGTTCACACACAAAGCGCGCGCTCTCGCCTGCAGTAACCGTCAAGTCACGCAGTCCTTTCACAATCCTCACACGCTCTGTAAAGGTAACATTTACCGAATAAAGGAATGCACAAAAGTCCTTGAAATTCACTGTGTTTAAAAGCTGAATTTTATTGTTGAATTTATGTAGGCTTGTTATGATTTATTGTACCTATCACTCTGAGGGTTGTAGACGTCTTCTTGCCTCTGACGCTGCATGTGTACTCGCCAGCGTCCTCCATTCTCAGTTTCCTGATTTCGAGCTCCTGAGTGGCACCTTTACGGTGGAGGGTATATCGCCCACCCTGTGTGATCTGATTTGCATCTTTTCTCCAGGTCACGGGGGCATTGTCGCTAGAGAGTAAACAACTAAACAGGACAGATTCCCCTTCTATTGCTTCTTGACTCTCAAGCTCTTTCTCAAAGAACACAGAAGCAGCAGCTGTGAGAGGTGTGAGGAGAAGTATTAACTCAACAACAGCTCAAAAGTATTTGGAGTATTTTGCAAATTAGAAATTGTGTATGCTAACTAGTAGAGTTTATGATATGAAATGACACTATGCGTGTATGATGGTGTGATTCATGAAAGGGTATCATACAGGGTTTGTGAAAGGATCATGAGGGAATCAACAGTCATGGAAATGGCAGAGGTTCAGTTGGGGGACCCTAATTACGGAAACGGGGATTTTATCATTCTAGGAGAGTTTTATTTGACCAGATTCTATTCAAATGGAAATACACATATATTACTATTTAAAAATCTGGTCAGTAAGATTTAACATGTTTTTGAAGAAGTCTCTTAGGCTCACCAAGGCTGCATTGACCAAAAATACAGTAAGAACTGAAAACACAGTAATATAGTGAAATATTAGTTCAATTTGAATTACTATTTCATTATATTTCATTACTATTTCACTATATTTTAAATTTATAGCTATCTTGAGGCTACTGACCAGTTTGAATGCCCCATGACCCCGCACCCCCTCATTTTCAGCCCTGGGTATCATACATTGTTTACAGCACTCTTAAAATGTTGTCAAGATATTGGGTAAAGACACAATGTTACCTAGTGTAAATCCAATGAAAAGGTCATTAAAGCTGCATTGGACCTACCCCTAACATTAACTTCAGCTGATGTCTTCTGGTCTCCAACAATACAGCTATATTCCCCAACATCCACAGGACGGACATTTTTAATGTGTAATTCGGCAACCAATCCCTCCTGCTTGATCTTGTATTTAGTTCCATTGCTGAGCTCCTCGTCCCCTCTCAACCATGTTACTGGTACCCCAGCCTTGGACAACTCGCAGTGCAGAATAACAACACCTCCCTCAGGAGCCTCTTGGTTCTTCAGGTTTTGTTTGAACGTTACTGGCGTGGCTGAAGAGTAGCACATTAGCATGTTAGCTCATTGTGAGCGTAAGCGACAAAATAAGCTACATTTTCTTTTAAAACCTTTATCCATACCGAACACTCTGACTGTCGACTTGGTATTCTGCTCCCCACAAATGCATCTGTAGATTCCACTGTCTTCAGGCAAGGCTTTCATGATGATCAGTTCTCTTGTAACATCACATTCCCTGATTTGATACTTATACCCAGATCTGAGAAGCTCTTCCCCTTTTCTCCATTCAACAGGACATCCAGCTTTTGAGAGCTCACAGTGTAATACAAGTGTATTTTCTTCTTCAACTTCCTGATTTTTCAACTTGACTTTAAAAGTGATAGGTGGAACTGGAAACGTCAACCAAATGAGATATGCCTGATTATTTCACAACACAACCATGCAGGCCCTCAAAGCACAGTGAAGCAGAAGCCCAATAGCACAAGAAGCAATAAAATAAAAACAGCAAGCCAAAAAAGCCCAAAATGTGCCAAGCCGCCTCTGCAAAATGTCTGCATGCCTGACCTTTATGGGTTTGCTCAACAGTTGTCTCAGAATCCTTTGTTTTACATGACTAGCAAGCCAAAAAGACCAAAATGTGCCAAAAAGTCTGCATGCCTTACCCTTAACGGTTAACTCAGCAGTTGTCTCAGAATCCTTGGTTTTGCATGAATAGCTCCCAGCATCACTTGCTTCAACATTATGTATGACCAGTTTGGTGAATGTTCCCTCTTGCTTTATTTCATACTTGTCATTGGGTTTGAGAATAATTCTTCCTTTTCTCCAGTCTACTTGAGTACAGGGTTTAGAGAGCTCACACCTTAACACAGCTTGTCCACCTTCTTTAGTTACTTCGTTTTGGAGTTCTTGTTTGAAAGTGACGGGTAGAGCTATGGAAACCATGAGAAATGTGTTCAAGTTAAGTTTGAGAATGATTTGAAAGAGGAAAGCTTTTCCTAAAGTATAACAATATCTGATCTTGCAGTAGTAGAGCGTACCCTTGACTTTTACTTCTGCTGTTGTCTTTTCCTGTCCCGTAGTGCAGCTGTAGGAGCTGACATCTTCAAAGTTGACATTCTTGATAAGTAGTTCAGCAATCCTTCCCTCGACCCTCATCTGGTACTTTTCTCCAACTCGCAGCATCTCTTCACCCCTCCACCATTTCACAGCGGCGCCCGGTTTGGAAAGCTCGCAACGCAAGGCAACAGTGTTGCCCTCCACCACTTCTTGATTTCTCAAGTTTTGTTTGAACGTGATTGGGAAAGCTAAGAAATCATAAATATATTTGTGTCACCTAAGGAGAATATTTGTCAAAATTTGCTAAATCGTATGATTGAGTTTCGTACCATTGATTTTAACCGTTGCTTTGGATGTCTGATCAGGGCACACACAAAAGTAGACTCCACTGTCTTCAGGTATGGCTTTCCTGATAACAAGCTCCATTTTAGTTGCAATCTGTCTCATCTGGTACTTTTCTCCAGGCTTAAGTACTTCTTCTCCCTTCAACCACTCGACATCAGCGCTGGCCTTTGAGAGTTCACAGCGCAAGGTGACGCTGTTCCCTTCTTCACCCTCATGATTCGTAAGTTCTTGTTTGAAAGTGATGGGGAGAGCTATACAAAGCAGATGTTGCATATCTGATCATGTTTTTGATCAAATATTTTCCTAGATTATTTCTATCAAAAATTGGCTAATGCTCAATTACAGGAACTTGAATTTGAAAACTTCCTGGAACTCATTCATACCATTAACTTTGATGGTGGCTTCGGTCTTTTGATCTTCACATACACATCGATAAACTCCACTGTCTTCTGGTTGTGCCTTCCTTATTAGCAGTTCAGCTTTTGCTTCTTTGAGTCTCAATTGATATTTTTCTCCAGTCTTGAGCATTTCTTCTCCTTTCCACCACTCTACTCGAACTCCTGGCTTAGAAAGTTCACAGTGCAAAGTGACACTGTTCCCCTCCTGAGCTTCCTGGTTCTTCAGAGTTATTTTAAAGGTAGCCGGGAGTCCTTCAGAAAGCCAAGAATTGAAAAAATCTGGTTTTCTGAAAGTTATAGGCTCTTCAAAAGTGTGAATGTTGTGTCTTCCCACTCAAGTGTTACCAAAAACTTACCAGTAGACACTTTTTGTGCTCAAACAACTTTAATAACTACAGCAAATTTGTGTTCAACTATCATCTAAATGAATTGAGGTATATTTTATGTATTATGTACACAAACACGCTATAGCTCTTCATAACCTGCCCAAGTTGTAATGAATTGGGCAAAATCTAGACAAAAGCTGCATTTCAACGTTACAGTTTTTATCAACCAATAATATATCAAGGGATTTGTCATTTCAAGACTCCTCTGATGCCAAATATGGAGTGTAATTAGAGGGTATGAATTTAAAGATCATGTAATGAAAATCCAAACAGTGATTTATATCACTGTTGAGAGATTCATTAAACCTATGTAGTGGGCTTGTGTAACGACATGACAGCATGCTATAGACCTTAATCAGGGTAGCGCCAAATTTAATTTTAGACAGGAATAAAAATAAGGCTGTGAGGGTTAGAACTTAGAAATACAGTGCGTTCAACAAGCTGATTGTTCAGTTGACCAAAAGTCTTTCCGAAAAAAAAATTCAGAAGACAAGAACTCCCTTTGAATAACAGTTTTGAAACTTTTGAAAATGACGTGATCTAGTGCCTTTATATAGTGCCTGCCAAAGTAAAGACTGTAAGTCTATCCCTCACAACCTCGATTTCATCCTTGTTAAATCCAATATCGCATAACCTGACTAGGGTCAATAGTAGCTGTGGAGTAAATGGCCATTTTAAATGAAATGGAAGAACTTGATCACACAGTGCTAGGGAAAAAAAAATCACATGGTCATGAAAATGAAATGCATATGAAATCCACAGTGTCAAAAATTCAGCAATAATTTGAATATTACCTTGAACCATCAATTTGGCTGTTGATTGTGAATCTTTGGTTTTGCAGGTGTAATTTCCTGCATCATCCTCAACAAGATTATTTATCACCAGTTTGGTTAATCGTCCCTCCAGTTTCATGTGATATTTGGCTCCAGCTTTCAGAATTACTCTACCTTTCCTCCATTCGACTGGAGCACCAGGCTTTGAAAGCTCACAGGTAAATACTGCACTCTCACCCTCTATAGACACCTGGTCCTGAAGCTCTCTACTGAATGTTATCGGAAGAGCTGAGAAAATATTGACATTTTTGGTCTTTTAATATAAACCATTACCTCACAAGCAGAAATCACAGTAGGCCTATGTATCGTTCAAAAGTCTGTTAGATTTGTGTTCAAAATAATTAATTTAGTTAAAGATAAAACATTTTCAAAAAAGCTTTAACAAGGTTTGAAATTGCAACCATTTTGGTGCTGAAGACTGACATGAAGAGAAATCAGACAAGCCATCAGAGAAAATACTGTACCAGGAACAAAGTATATGCGCAAAATATAGGAAGAAATATACAAATAGCGAATTGGGGTTTATATAAATGTATCTCTTAAAGGAGTAGTTCACTTTAAAAAAAAAAAACTTTTGCTGAAAATACATTTTTGTGTGTGTGTGTGTGTTGGAGTCAAAACAGCAGGAATTCCTCTGTCACACACACAGATCTGCTGCAGACACTGTTCTGACACCTGTACCAAACTACACTCAATTTTAAGCTATTACTCCAGTCTTCAGTGTCACATGATCCTTCAGAAACCATTCTTACATGCTGATTTGGTGCTCAAGAAACATTTCTTATTAATATCAATTTTTAAAACATTTGTGCTGCTTAATATTTTTGTGTTAATCGCAGGGGCGTAGAATTTAGTAGGGACGCTAGGGACGTGTCCCTACCAATATCCAGTGACACTGATATCCCTAGCAATAATTTCGATCAAAACTTCCCGATCAAACCTTCCCGTCCCCACCAATTTTAAAATCAAGCCTACGCCACTGGTTAATCGTTATAAAAAAATCAGGAGTCTCTGATGAATAGAAAGTTCAAAAGAACAGAAATCTTATGTAATATTACAAATGTCTTTACTGCCACTTTTGATCAATTTAATACATCTTTCCTATTAAATCGATTAATTTTAAAAAAAATCTTTAAAGTGGTATTGTATATATTTTTAACATTCTTTAGACCTTACCTTTGACTTTCACTTCAGCTGTGGTCTTTTGGCCTCCAGTCACACAGCTATATATTCCAGCGTCTTCAGAGAAAATATTAGTTATTTCCAACTCAGCTGTCCTTCCATCCAGCGTCATTTGGTACCGTGGCCCTGGAAGGAGCGGTTTATCTCCTTTCCACCATTGCACAGGTACTCCAACTTTGGAGAGCTCACAGTGTAAGGTTATAGATTCCCCTTCAAGAGCTTCTTGGTTCGTAAGTTGTTGTTTAAAAGTAGCTGGAGCACCTGAGCAGCCAACATATGTTTTATAATAAGATAAATTTGCTATCAATTACAAAAACTCAATGAAACAAAACCTTACCAACAATTTTGATTGTAGCTTTGGTCTTTTGGTCTCCACAAACACATCTGTAGACTCCACTGTCTTCAGGTACGGCCTCACAGATGATCAGCTCAACTGATGTGTCTCGTTCTTTCATCTTATACTTCTCTCCAGGCTGGAGCAGCTCGTCTCCATTCCACCATTCTACTGGGACACCGGTTCTGGAAAGCTCACAATGCAATTTTATCGTCTTCCCTTCCTCGGCTACCAGGTTTTTCAGCTTCTCTTTGAAAGTGACAGGTTGACCTAAAGAACAAAAAGAAACAAATAAGTACATCATTATTTACTTTGGCAAACGAACAGGCTAAATTTGTTGTAAACTAGCATTCAACATTAAGTGTGAGACAGTTTCAGGCCAGCTGACTGCAGTCACTTGTCCAAACCAATGCTGAGTTACCACTACAAGTAAATAAATAAATAAATAAATAATACATTCATTGATTTTGACAACCATTTTTATTCCTAGCAAATTATTAGTTATTTTATAATTATTATTATAATTATTTATTATTATTATTTTATTGTTATTCAATTATAATTGTTATTTTATATAGCTGGATAAAATAGATTTTTAACAAAGTTTTGGGGGGAAAAGTTTTTGGGGAAAGTGACATGATTAAACCTGTATAAGTTCTTGCTTGTTTCAAAATTGTACATAATAAATATAAGTATTTATACACACACATACTGCACATACATGTACACACACATATAAAATCACTCTTATACACAGCTTTTTAATAGCTTACACAATCTTTTTATATATGTTCTATATTATTATGTATGTATAATGTTAATAAACCATTTCAATGTTTTTACAGTTTTAATAAAAAATGAATTGGTGAACATTTTTGTAAAGAATACTTAATAAATATAAATATTTATACATAAGATTTATATATTTCTACATATATTTTAGCAAATATAAAAAAAGCATCGTTAAATAATCACTATTTTGTTTTAGTGGCATTTAATGGCAAAATTGGCAGGTCAAGTAACAGAACCACTGGCCTGACTGGGCAAGTATTTTAAAAAAAATCCTTATTTTGCATGATGACTTTTGAAGTAGCTTACCACTAACAGTAATGTTGGCTGATGTCTGGGCAGTTTCACTTGTGCAGCTATAGACTCCACTGTCCTCTTGTGTCAAATTGAAAATCTTCAGCTCTAGCATGCAGCCTCTCTGCCTGATCTTGTACTTCTCTCCGGACTTGAGCAGGTTGTTCCCCTTTCTCCACTCAACAGGGATGTCTTGTTTGGATATCTCACAATGTAAGATTATGCTGTTTCCCTCCTCAGCTATTTGATTTCTTAACTTCTGTTTGAACGTGATGGGTTGAGCTAAGGAAATATTAAAGAATGTACTGTATAAGCTCCATTTTCAGAATTCAGATCATTGGAGAAGCAAAGTCTTTATTCAACATCTTGTCTTACTTCGTATTTTGATAATAGCTTTGGTCTTTTGATCTTCACACACACAGATGTACGTTCCACTGTCCTCAGGCACTGGACTTCTGATTACCAGCTCCAGTATGGTGACGATGTGTCTCATCTGATACTTCTCGCCAGGACAGAGAGTTTGTTCACCTTTCAACCATTCCACAGGGATTCCAGCTTTAGAAAGCTCACAGCGTAATGTCACATTTTTACCCTCCTCTGTCTCTTGGTTCTTGAGCTCTTTAACAAATGATATAGGAACCGCTGGAAAAGAGAGAATGGTACAAGTGAAGCAACAAATCAAAGACAAATGTTTTGAATTCATTTTCATAAAAATCAGTACCATTAACTGTAACAGTAGCCATAGTTTTTTGGTCTCTGCAAATGCACGTGTAATTCCCAGAGTCTTCCGGCATCAGATTGTGTATTGTAAGAGAAATGCAAGATTTCCTCTGCCTCATGTGGTACTTATCACTATATTTTAGTGTCTCAGGTCCTTTGCGCCAGACAAACTGGACGCCGGGTATAGAGAATTCACACGTCAGCGTCACACTCTCTCCCTCTTTGACCTCCTGGTTCTGAAGAGTTTTTGTAAACTCAGCAGGGATAACTAATGTGAAACAAACATAAAGATGATGTAATTTTAGAAAAAGTAGTCAAACTAAAACCTCCCAAATGGTAGAATGAGAATGTGGAAAGAAATACCTTTAACAGTCAAAGTGGCTTTACTGCTAACCGATCCTGCATCGCACTCATACACCCCTGCGTCACTGTCTTTCACATCACGGATGGCCAGCCTGGCCTCATTTCCAGATCGACTAACTAAGTACTTTGAGGAATTCCAGATTAAACAGCCATCTTTGTACCAAACAATATGACATGGCTTTGAGGTCTTGCATAACAGCACCAAACTTCCTCCTTCAATTGCTTCTGTGTCCTCCAATGCTTTAGTTATCGTGGGGCGTCTCTCTGTTATTAAAAGAGGTTTATTACAAAGACATATTTCAGTTTATTTATGTTGTACATTATTCTGATCTGCACAGTATTTTCTTATGTTTCACATTTTTTATTTTATGATAGACAACAAAGACAACAAAAGTTTACACATAAGCCTCTTTAAAACTCCTTTTTTGTTCGAAAGCTCAAAATATATATTTTATTTTAACATTATGTATAAAAAATCTATGTATCATGATCTTTTTATAATATCAAAGTAGTAAAAGACATATTGACTAGTTTCATCTCAAAAGGCATTCTTATGAGCATTATTAACGGCAATCTGCTATTTCAAGATTATATGCTAAATGCATCTTGTCAAGTGTCATGATTTATAATAGTTACCTCTGACTAATAGTGATGCATATGATCTTTTGTCCCCAGCCTCGAAGGAGATGGTGCCGGTGTCTTTACGTGCAAGCTGTTTAAAGGTAAGAGTGTGGTAGCCACCAGGCATCATCGCGATCTCGTTAAGATCATTAGTATAGAGCAAGGTCTCATCCAGGTACCATTTAACGTCAGTATAGTCACTTGGGCAGATCCGACACTTAAAGACGATGGTATCTCCTTCTAGACACTCTTTATCTTCTAGCTCATCCACAATGACCACTTTTTGACCTGAGCCAGATTCATATAAAATCCAATAGATGCATAACAACTTTTAGTTTACAATTCATAAAGTGACTATAAAATAGTGTTCAAACACTTTATTCTAGTAAACCATCTCACATTCCCTTTTTTAAAGGTTTATAATTATAAAACCATTTGTTGTTTGGCTACCTTGCACTGTTAGTAATGCCCTGCTCTGCATTGTCCCAACGTCACAGGTGTAGATGGCACTGTCACTCTTCTCCAGACTGAAGATGGTCAGAGAGAGGACAACATCCTTTTTCTTCATCATGTACTTTTGTCCCGAGCTGAGCACCATCAAGCCTTTTAACCAGTTCACGGTAGTGGCGGGCCTCCTGGTTTCACACTCCATGATCACTGTGCCCTTTTCCTCGGCACACAAATCCTTCAGTTCCTTCGCAAATGTTTGCTGCAAGTCTAAATGCATTAGAACAAAAGAGAGAGTAACGGTGTAAATGACATTCAGCAGAATGAAATGAACTTGATCGGTCAATCACTGAAAGAGCAGTTGCACTGGGAAAAAATTAAAAAGTTTTTCAACTCAAATTTATAATAGTGAATAAGGAAGTATTTACCTCTGACATCTAATCTGGCCCTTGTAGCAATCCCATCAGCCTCACAGCAGTACTCTCCTGAGTCCATTATGGCTGCATTATGGATGATGAGCTTCACCAAATAATCCTTTTGGGTCATTTCATATTTTGGGCTAACTCTAATTATTCGCCCATTTTTCAGCCATTTAACTGTTGCATCAGGTTTGGTGATCTCACAGCTGAGCTCTGGATCTTCACCGGGTGTCGCTTTAACATTTAGCATATCCCTAAACACTCTCACAGGCTTCTCTGCGAAAACAGAAGAGACAGAGAGTAAGCAATGCTGAACTTGGAAACTTGCATTATTTGCGAATTTAAATGATCACCTTTGACAAACAACATAGTCCTGCAACTGAGATCTTTGATGGTAAAGACCACTTCTCCGGCATCAGATATATTAACTTCCTGAATGCTCATTGAGTATTTGCGCCCCTGGTTAGTGACTATGATCCGTCCATTGCTGACAATCAGTTTGCCATTCAAGATCCACAATGCTTCATCGATTATATCATGGGACAGGACACACTCAAAACTGCAGTCTTCCCCTTCCAGCACAGTTGTTGTCCGTATGCGTTTGGTAATGGTAATGCGCAGGTCTGAAAAAAGACCCTCAGTTTAAATAAAAGTATTTTTTTGTTAATTATTTCAATAAGATTCAATTGGAGATCATGAAACCTACCACGAACTATGACTTTCGCTTTAGTTTGGCTGCAGCCAATATCACAACTGTACTCCGCTCCATCGTCCTTCGTCAGCTTGCGAATTCTAAGAGTCAATGACTTTCCTAAATGGAGAATCTCATACTTCTCATTGACGGTCAGAATTTCACCATCTTTCCTCCAGACAGAAGTTACAGATGGCTTGGAAACCTCACACTGCAGAAGAACTTCTCCACGCTCCTCACCTGCTACATCCTCCAGTGACCTGAGGAATACTGCTGGCTTTTCTAAGAGACACACATAAATGGCCGATATTAAAAATCTATACCAAAGAAAATGAACACTCAATTTTGCATGCTAAAGTGAATTTAGGCATCACAAGTTCATAATGTACAGTAAGACAGACTGAAAATTTCTGCTTTAGAAACTGTTTGAATTAGAAAAAAAAAATCATAATAAAAGAGGAGGGTCAAAACTCCTAAAGGGACATACTGTAGTGATAGAAAAAAAACATGAGATGGGAGGAAAAATTATGGCAATGCTTTTGAATTCTGTGGCAAATGTTTTGCGTTCCCCTGAGAAATTTTGCATTCACCCGCAAAGGCAACGTTTCTCAGGGAACGCAAAACTTTTGGAAGAGAATGCAACTGTTTTACTTTTTATGTCCATCTCATATTTTTTCCTTCACCATGTCCCTTTTTTAGGGGCTCCATGATATGCTGGTTGGACAGTACATACATTTTATAAACCACTGTATTTGAAATGTTATTTGAGTATACAGAGTTTGTTTGTGTGGCCTGAAATGAGTTGTAACAATGTCTATTTCTTATAATAAAGTACAACTAATTTTATGCATGAACTCGTAAATTGAAAGAAATAGTGCTCTTAAAGGGTTAAATCTCTTCCATAATTAATAGCTATTCCTTTAAGAATGTGCTGGGCAGAAACAATTATATCTCCGATATCTGTTGTAAATTCTTGTACATGTCTCTGTTTTGAAGTTAGAGGAGTTGGACTCCAGGTTATTAAAAAATCCTGTTTTCTTAGTCCCATGATAACTGAAAACCTTACCTCTGACCCTGAGGAACGCAGACTCGCTGATATCAAAGGTTTTGAATGTAACACGGCTCTCTTGAGGAGCGAGTCGCTTTAGAATCAGACTGTACACTTTTCCAGAATTCTGGACTTTGTTTATGTGGTTGGTGTGCAGTACTCTGTCATTGAGAAGCCACTGGACACTGGGTGACTCGTGACTCAGTTCACAACTGAATACAGCAGAGCCATCTTCCTCAGTCTCTACTTGCTCCAGATGCCTTATGATCTTCAACCTTTTAACTGCAAGAAAATAAAGAATGATTTCTAATTCTAATATCAGGGAGTGCAGATTGTTTCTTATTTTGATGATGTGTTTAAAAATTGTACTGGAGCTAAAAGCAGGTACCTTCCACACTGATTCTTCCTTTTGTCTCCGAGCCACCAGCCAGACAGCGATACTCTCCTGAATCTGCAACTTTCACACCCAGGATGGTCATGTCAACCCGGTTCTTTTCTCGCTTCATTGTGTACTTATTGGAGGCAAACAGGGGGGTTCTACCCTTGAACCAGCGCACTACTCTGGGGGATGGACAGAACTCACAGCTGAGAGTAACTGACCCATTCTCCTTCACCTCCACATCTGAAATAGGCTGTTTGACGATCAAAGGTCGCTCTATTAGGAAAGTGTAAGAAAGCAAGAATTCATAAGCCACGTTATTCACAAGCCATATAATACAAATGCATGGCTCATGCTCTGATTTCTCAGCCTTAGACATCATGCCCATGGACCATTGGCTGAATATCTGATGCATGTGGCACACTTTTCTGGAAAAACTTCAGGAGTTTCAAAGTCACGATCTGATTGGTTGAATTCTACCGGATGTCCAGAAGACGCATGTGTCACGTTCTTTAACGGTTTGTGTGGAAACAAATTCATTGACGCCAAAACCCCTTGTGGAATAAGAAAGCCATTGTGTTTAAAACTATGACAATGAGCGCTTACCAGGATCAACTAATCGTTGGATTTTCAAAAGTATGTGAAGTTTGCGGCTCCATTGCAAGACTAGGGATGCACTGATATGAAATTCATGATAAGATAAGCAGTTTTTTTTTGTTATGGCCAATTAATGATAAATGGGTTATATTAAAATAAATGACTACGTTTAATTCAAAACTACCAACTTCGGTACCAAGTCAGTACAAAAATTTGACAAATGTCACTATACAAGCATTTCCCGCTATCATTTTGAGCGCTGTTGAACGGATTCTTAAAGACCTCTGATTGGCCATTGTGTTCATAAGCTCAACATATGTCTCTGATTGGCTACAATGATCAACGCTTCAAAAACATGTTGTAAATAGACACTCTTCACCGAGAGCTTACAAAGATACACACGGTAGCATTTGAAAGCATGCGTCTGTCAGCGGATCTCTAAAAAATCTGCTGATAGACGCCTGCTTTCAAACGCTCCTGTGTGTATGTGTAAACGCTTGGTGAAGAGTGTCAAAGACGTCCTTTTACAACATGTTACAACATGCATACAGGAATGATTTTTTGTGTATACACGAGTAACAAATTCCGATGTGTGTCAAATTTTAGTAAGGAGCCAGTGCAAACGCAGCCTAAATGCAGTGGACGTGAGCTTACACAATTAAATAACCAATACTCTGATACCAATAATTAAAAAAAAAAGCCTTGTCCGATAACACAATTTATTGTGTATCCCTACTGTGAATATTTGAGATTGACCAGATAATTACCTGTAACTGTGAGTTGAGCTTCTGACTTGCTCTTCCCCGAGGTGAACTGCACAATGCCACACATGCTGCTGTCAGTTTGGGTGAAAATAAGTCTGTTTGAGGTTCCTTCCCTCTCAATCCTGATTTCTGGACAGGGGCATAGCATCTGCCCATTCAGGGTCCATTTTGGTGCCCTCTCTAATTTAATACTGGTTTCCACTTTAAAACGAGCCTCTTTAGGCTCCATGACCTCCACAGAACTGAGTCCTTTCAAAATGCTGATGGCCTGCTCTGTAAGAATAGATCAAATATCCCGTGCATAAAAGTCTTATCTTACATTTTAAAAGGATAGACGAACTGACTAAATGAATAAAAGTAGACTAAGAATTAATCTGTTAATATTGAAACTGGATTAGTAAACTGTATTTAAAAAAATGACTTCTCACCCTCTACAAACAGTTGGCAGGAAGTCCTCTCATCAACAGCATCACAGATAAAAGTGTCTTCATCTGAGGAGCCCACATCATCTATGATGAGCTGTCTGTACACACCTTCACTGATAGTTTGGTACTTGCCATTTGGCACAATTTCACGGTTTCTTCTGTACCATTTAACCACAGCATTGTCACGGGAGACCTGACACTCCAGCAAGGCACGGTGTTTGTACATGGCAATCTTCACCCTCAGGGGCTTCAAAAAATTAACTGGAAGCTCTGCAATGATCATCCTTGGTAAATTCAAAGACAATTGAAGAAAACGGATCAAATGCGTTGCTCTCATTTTTACCTTTAACTTGTAGTGTTGCTGTTGAAGAGACCCTCTCTGCAGTGAATCTGATTTCACCAGCATCTTCTGGTTTGACTGATTTATAGCTCAGGGAGTGTATTTTACCTGTTTGTAAGATTTGATCAAATTTGAAAGAGCTGCTGAAAATTACATTCTAAAACAACATATTATCATTTTCAATTAAAGACCTTTTTGGGTATTCTCAAAAAATTGTCATTTTCCAGCGTAATTCAATTTTTTATTATTTTTATTATTATTTAACACCTAAATAACTCATTTAAATTAAATAAATTAATACATTATTTTTTAAACTTGGTGCACAGCTACACCACTTTTTGAATTTTCTAAATACGAGTTAACATTAAAAACATCAATGGAACTATTGTGTACTATTCACTTATTTTGTTTTGCGTATTTGCAAACTTGCTATACAGTGAATTAATGCTTAAATTAAAATGAACAAATAAATATGATAAAACTGTAATTTAATAAACACTGGGTTCAATTTAAGGATTATGCTTTTCATAGAAGTCACGTGAAATGTTTGTTACCATATTTTGAGAATGACCCTGTTATGAACATAATGACATCCACCATATAATTCAAAGGGTCAGTAAACCTCTCACACATACCCTCACATCTTATTTTAACATTGTCCCTAGCTCGCAACCGGCTGTCGTCCTTGTACCACTTCCCATCCACATCTTCCCAGTTGACCTCACAGATAAATATCACACTCTCCTTCTCGGTCACACTGGCATTCTGAAGATCCTTCACAATCTTTATATCCCTGGCTTAGAGAAAGGAAACAGGATAGTAGCAAACTGCTATCACAGGCAGCTTGTTAGGTAACATTTAAAATGACAAAAAACACTTCTCTACTGTAAATGTACATACCGTAATCCAAATCATTTGAGATCTGAGGCATTACTACAACTATCACACAGAGAAATGACTTAATACTGCATTAACCCTCTAAAGCCTAATGTATCATATTTTATATGCAAATATCTATGGCCTTTGAATTAACATGATCAAATAAGTAAGTTTGCCCACTTAAAAAGAAATGAAAGGTCTATCATTTTTATGGTAGGGTTATTTTAAAGGATAGGTATGCACACATCACCAGGTTTGCACACATCTCAGGAGGGATTTTGGTCCATTCCTCTTTACAGATCCTCTCTAAATCCTAAAGGTTTCTTGGCTGTCGCTTTGCAACTCAAAGTTTCAGCTCACCCCACAGATTTTCAATGGGCTTAAGGTGTGGAGACTGGCTTCTTCTAATGTGCTTCTTCTTGAGCCACTCCTTTATTCCCTTGGCGGTATGTTTTGGGTCATTGTGATGCTAGAAGACCCATCCACGTCCCATCTTCAGTGTTCTGGCTGAAGGAAGGAGGTTCTCGTCCAAGATTTTACAGTACATGGCCCCGTCCATCAGCCCCTCAATATGGTGACGTCGTCATTTCTCGTCCTCAGAACACGAGTTGAGTTGATGCAAAGAAGCTCATACAATTTTGGTCTCATCTGACCACAGCACTTTCTCCCAAGCCTTCTCTGAATGATTAGATGTTATTGGCAAACTTCAGATGGGCCTATACATGTGCCTTCTAGAGCAGAGGGACTTGATGACTGTGGTCCCAAGTGCCTTGAGATCATTAACAAGCTCCTCCTGTGTAGTTCTGGGCTGATCCCTCACCTTTCTCATGATCATCCTTAACCCATGAGGCGAGATCTTGCATGGAGCTCCAGACCAAGGGCGATTGATGGTTATTTTGCATTTCTTCATTTTCCGAAAAAAAAAAAATGGCACCAACAGTTTTCTTCTTCTCACCAAGCTTCTAGCTGACGGTCTTGTAGCCCATTCCAGCCTTCTGCAGGTCTACAATCTGGTCCCTGACGTCCTTTGACAGCTCTTTGGTCTTGCCCATGGTAGTGGAGAGGTTGGAATGGAAGATACAGATTATGTGGACAGGTTTCTTTTATGCACATAACAAGCTGACATTAGGAGTACTTTCTCAAAGTGACAGGACTAATATGTGTTCCACATGGGCATATAACCTATCTGTGGGAGGCAAAATTCTTGCTTGTTGGTTGGTAGGGGATCAAATACTTATTTCACTCAATCAAATGCTAATCAAATTATAAGCTTTATGATATGTTATAGTTTTTGGTTGATTTATCCATTAAAATAAACCTACCATAAAAATGATAAACCGTTTATTTATTTATTTGTAAGTGGGCAAACTTAATCATCAGGGAATCAAATAATTATTTTCTCCACTGTACATGGCTATACATGTACAGTGGAGAATATATATATATATATATATATATATATATATATATTGGTTTGTACATATAGGCCTATATTCTAAAGGTTCAATACTGTTCCATTAAAAAAAAAAAGTCTGCTTATTTGTATTTCATATGTCAGACTTTACAGGGTTAAAGACAGAACGCGTATAGCCTACCTGTGACTGTCAGCATAGCTGAGCTTTCGATTCCTTCAGCCTTGAAGCTGATGAAGCCCATGTCAGAAACCGTAACCCGCGTCAGGGTGAGTGTGTGTTTTTTCCCCTGCATAGCAATTCGACACACAGGCCTGGACTTAAGTGGGAGTCCATTCCTGGTCCATTCACCCTGGACGTACGCATGGCTGAGGACCACCTCAAATGTACAGACTTCTTTCTCACACACCGTCACGTCCTCTAGCCCTTTCACCAACTGAATCCTATTCACTTTAGACAAAAATAAAGAAATTATCTCTTTTTTTTAAACAAATACTGCAACAACAGAGCCCCTAAACAAGTGACATTTGCGGGGGAAACTATGTCGCGAGCACGCGTGCTCATGTTTTCTATATTTACTTTGATCGTGTTCGCGCCGAAACGCACGTTAATGTCTCAGGCTCAGAGTCCCGCGAATGTGTCACTTAGGGACTACTGAGTAGCCTACACTGCTGCTAGTATAAAATATATCATGACGATATAAAAAATATTCAAAATACATAATTGAGAAATTACTCTTACATGCCATGACACCTTGAAGGCTACTCTTACAAGCCTAGGAATGACCAGTAACTTCAAGTTTACTACTCCAGTTGCACAAAAAAAATTGTCCTTTGTTAGGCTACTCATTGACAACAAGACTGAAAAATAAATATGCTTATTGTTGTTGCTATTTCTGAATTTTCATAATTTATGTATAGCCTACATATATTCATTTTGTACTTAATTAACAAAATATTCATGTCTATGTCTAAAACACTTCGGTAACACAAAGCAGATCTTAGTAGTGAATACAACCATGGCTTGAAATATGAAACTGACAGAAATTATATGCTCTTACAGTCCGTGTAGGCCTAATTAGTTGGCATGCACTGATGTCTCTGCCAGTCTAGTTTATTTGGAGAAGAACTTATGTCCAAGTGTGCCGATACAACTGAAGTTTGTCTAAATCAAACAAAGACAGACTAAATCCCTGCACACTTCTTACACATTACAAACAAACGCCTCTCCCAGTTGTTGCAGCATGTCACAATTGCTCAATTAATAGTTTGCCTCAAGTGTAGGCTATATAATGCTTTGAAATATGACACCATCCTTGCATCCTTGAGATTAAAAACATGAAATAAATAATGAATTTCATAGCTTTTTTGAATTAATCAAACTATAGTCAAATACAAAAATTGGCAACTTATAAAACTGGACACATTAGATTAGACTTCATCAAATCTTTTGTTGTTATTGTTGTAGAAGATCATGCACCAGAAAACTGGGTATTTAAACAACAATTTAAAATCAGTCATGAGAAAAACATTCATACAGACCAGACATTTAGAAGAATAAATGGATCTTCCATTCCACTCACCATTAGCTGAATTTGGCATTTTCCTCACATTAAAGTCCATAAAAGACCCTTAAAGCCATAATATTTGCAACTAATGACAGAGATACCCGAAAACATCAAAGTCCGCCCTATGGTTTTCTGTAGTTCGCATAAATTCCTTCAAGATTATCCTCCAAACTTTGACCAAAGATACCCAGGTCAGTGTGCTATCCAGTTTCCCTTGGCAGACAAGCAGCTGAAAGTGTTTTTCTTTTTTTCCAGCTTTCCCAAAGGCTAATACCAAACAGCTGACATATCTCCAAAATAGCTGTGCGTCATTATACACAAAGATAGAAACATCTTGGCTACATGGAGCAAGTCCTGCCTACTAGCATTGTTTTCATACACAGCAAACCAACCATACCTTTCACAGGTTCATTAACCTATTTATTAATTGACTTAATTGAGTATGTATCTCTTAACAAATTCTCAGGCTTGATTCAAAATTGATTCCCAGAGAATGAATATTATTAATGTTGTGCTGACTTGAAGTTATTCACAGTAGCATAGGTTCCTGAGTTCATAAATCATATTTCTCTGAGAGATGCCAATACAACTGAGTTGGAAAGGTCACAGGAGATTAAAAGATCCTGTCATTCAGCTGTGAAATCACTTGTTAGATCTGAATGTCTATACTGCAAGACTGTCCAGATTTGGTAAGAGGCATTTAAGCTCTCATGTGAAACAAACAGGATTCATTCTGACAAATAAAGAAGTCTCAACATGCTTATTCTCAATTGACAATTGAAGAATTATTTGACTTCAAACATTTTTTTTGTCTATTAAGCACATCGCATTATCAAATTTGAACATCTGTCCGCAGACATACTTGTCCTGAGTTATCTTGAGAGATGATATTTATAGTGACATTTTTATGTTAATAGCAGCATCAAACAGAATTGATATGATACTCCAAATGGCTGGACATAATAATTACCTCAACCATGGCATGAACTACCTGTTTCTTCCAACCGGAGGAAGAGTTGACAGAAAACTGTCTTCTGTCATTTGGCGATGAAAGAAATTATGCACCTCACTTTCAAAACTTAACTTTTACCTGTTTCTATTTAATCAACCTGAAAGCCTGTTGCAGGTGCAAAGTCTGTCAAATGAGTTGCAGACATCCACCATGCATGTGTACAAGTGGTCTCAACTCAAAGTGACAGGGATGTGATATCACTGATGGACTGAAGACACCGTATAAATAGTTATTTGTTAAGGAACCAGAACCATGTGAGGATGTGTTAGGTGAAATTAGAACTTGACGAAACAGCTGAACACTTCACCTAAGCTCACAGGTCCTTGTTTGGAGCCCATCTCTGCTAGTTTCACATGTCCTTTGGTTTTGTCTCTCTCCACCCTGCTGACAACAGATTTATCAACAGCCATTAATCAACTCGAAGTGACCTTACTGCTCAGTGCTCACACTATATTGTGTTGCACTCCATTATTATAATTCTTAGCAGTTCAATTTGAACTTATCAATTGACTTAATAGAGTAGATAGAATCAATAAATCATTTGCAACAGTGTTTTTCAATCATGCTTTAAAAATATTTATAAAAGTAAAAAACCTAAAGAGATTTGGCTAAATTCAATTCATAGAATCCATCCAAACCCATGACACAGTTGGCACTCGAGTTTAGAAAGAGCGAAAACAGCATGACCTTCAGGATGTCAATGACGTTGATGCTATTGTGCACCATGTTCCTGCTTTGCATCAAAATCATAAGTAAAATGAAGCACCAAAACCTCATTTCTAACTTTGTGAAATCACATAAGTTCTACTTTGATGAAATATGCAGATCCACATGTTTACCAGCACGGAGATGTGTTTCTTTGATAGAGTGCCTGTCCATTTGTTGATCTGAGATAATCCTTTACACCCTAGTCTGGGGGCTGTCTCAGTTTCAGCCCAGACCAATCACAGATCCACATGTCTAACTGGGGCTACAAAATCCCCTTCTCCCATTAGTTGTCCTTGACACATCTAAAGCACATACTGTCTTTTCACCTCTATGTATGGACCCCAACATCCCACAGCAGACACGGGAAGAATTCTTATGCAGGGTATAAGAATATTCTTGTTAGCTTCACTTAATTTTTTTTTTTTAAATCACAAATACATTTTTTTAGCAGAATGGTGCACTTGCGGAGGTCTTGCCAGCAAATTGCAGCTTGAATATTTACTCAATACATGAATTTAGATGTATAGGTTTGTGCACTACCTTTCAAAAGTAAGTGTGTTTGTTTTTTGTACTTTTATTTAGCAAGGATGCATTACATTGACAAGTAATTTTATAATGTTACAAACACATTCTATTTCAAATAAATTCTGTTCTTTCTGAACGTTCTATTCATCACAGAATCCCGACAAAATGTATCACGATTTCCAAATGCTTCTTGGGTATCAAATCACAGCTAATTATTATGATATGTAGGATTATGTGACACTGGGGACTAGAGTAAGGGCTCCTGAAACCACAGGAAATAAATAATAGAAATTGGTTATTTTAAATTGTGATATTTCATAATACTATTTTCACTGTACTTTTAATTTTTAAAATTTAAATAAACGCAGCCTTGGTGAGCATAAGAGACTTGCGACCCCAAATGTTTGAACAGTAGGGTATTATCCCTTCAGATATTACATTTTTCAGGGCAGATTGTGTTTTGACTACTGAAGCGGTGGACCATCAAAATGGGAGCCATGTAAAGGTTTGCAGAGACATTGGCCATTTTCAAGCCACCAGAATAACTCTTACAATTATTGAACCTAAATTTATCCTAAGATCCCCATTTTAGCTGCCATTATATCTTTAATTGTTATATCAGATTAAAGTATCATCATTACTTCTGCTTATGAGGCTTTCTTGAAAGTTATAAAAAAAAATGTGCAGGCTATATCCCAGTTTGTTGAGTGAAAGTGCAGATACGATGTGATACTCAGATCATGTTTTTCACACTGTGGTTTATGCTCTAAAATGGAGATGGTATCTGTGTATTTATAGATCCACAAATTGTTTTGTGCCACACCCTCAATTTGGATTTTAATTAACAACTGAACAAAAATATGCATATTATCATAAGATAATGATGGCATGAGCAAATCAATGCATTTATTGGTCAAAGCAGGGAGTCTCCTACTGTGGTTGATCATGTTAACTCTTCTTGTTACTTTTTTCCTTTCTTCTTGCCACCTTTGCCTCCTGTTTTTGGGGGCTCTTCATCACCCTCTTTCCCTAAGGCAGCTTTAATTCTCTTCTTTCCAAGGGGAGTCTTGGCATACCAGTTCTGTGAAGATGAAAAAAAAGTGAAGACTAGATATAAAGTGAATATCATGAGGGTCTTTTCCCTCTCAGGTTATCGCCAAGTTCGCTATCAACTTCAATGTGCAGTGGGAAGCCATGCCCGCTTGAGATTGTACTTACTTTTAGCGCCTCTTCTTCTTCCTGAAACACTGGGTCAATTCTAGCAAGTGGTGCCACAAACTCTGAAGCAGTTAGTGGACGTTTAGGCAACTGCTGAATGCGCCGTTTAGTCAAGATGCTACGTACCACCTGCACTATGCGACCCTGCGTGTAGCCATCGGAAATCTTTGCCAGAGAACTGCGATCGAGGACGCTTGTCAATTCTCCTCCATTCTTTTTTATCAGCTCTTTCCACATTACTGTCAAAATACACAGATGTATGATTGGAAATTTTTCTTATTGTATACACTATTATTTAGAAATACACTTTAAGGTCAGCAAGATTTGTTTTGTAAAGAAATTATTACTTTTATTCAGCAAGGGTGCATTAAATTGAGATGTATTCTATTCAAAATCTTGAAAAAATGTATCATGAGTTCCATAAAAATATTAAGCAGCACAACTGTTTTCAACATTGATAAAAAATAAGAAATGTTTCTTAACCTTCAAATGGTCTTCGTTTCCTGTTTACACTTCTGGGCTTCAGGGTCTATACGACCTCAACTATTGATTGAGTAATTGTACAAAAAAATATACATTTTTAATCATATCTTTTTTGTTGTTGTTGTTGTTGTTTACTTCTCATGTATTCATAAATGCTGTGTGTTTGGAGATATAAAGTACTTTTGTATCCATATACCACACAATTCCTCAACTACACCATTGGCTTATTTTTTTATGATACATTGCATTTATGCTCTAGTACTAAGCCTTCATTTCTGCATAAAAATTTTCAGATTTGTTTTAGTTTTTTTGACACATGAAGATAATATATTTCGGGGTTTTTTTCACATTTCCCATTCATTTTAATGTGGGGTCATATTGACCCTGAAGACCAGAAGTGTAAAAAAATGTTTACATACCTTCAGAACAACCGAATCAAGCCCAGTTTTTTTTGTGTGTGTGTATACAGTAGATAGATAATGTATGAAAAGTCACAAAATCTTATTCCACTGAGATGAAGGGAACCTTTTTTTTTTGAGTAAAAGTCGATTGGGGTCATATAGACCCCATGACTCGATTGAGGGCTATACGCATCAGAGCAGAATATAAGAAGGATTTAGGATCATGAGACACTAAAAACTGGCGTAACGGCTGCAGAAAATCCAGCTTTTCCACCACAGGAATAGATTCACAATATTTATTTTTACTGTTTTTATTTTTTTTTTATAAAAAAAAAAATGCAACATAGGTAAGCATAAAAGACATGCATACTGTATACACACAAAAACACATCTCATAATAAATAAAGCCTCACCACTTAATGATTTTCTATTTGCTGACAAAAGTCTAGAAAATTAGCTTACCAAATCTTGATGCATAGTCCGGTCGTGGTATGAGGATGATCTTATTGTAGAATTTGCACAAGGATTTCAGGTCTGCACTGTGTGGATCATTTGTCGTACCTACGATCAATACGCAATCTTCTCCTTTGATGGACTTGAGGATTTTGAGCAAATCTTTCTTCAGACGCTTTGGATCTAACTGTTTATGCAGAATTAAAACATCTCGTTAATTTTCATTTCACCGCTAAACAGATCACAAGTAGGTTACACTCTTTACCTCCTTCTCATCTTTTGGTACTTTTTTGTAAAACATCTTTTCAGCATCTCCAATCCATATTACAGAGGGCTGCATCAGTCTGGCAACCTGCACCGAATACAGAGTACATCAAAATAGCAATACTTAGCAGGTCAGTTTCACAAATTTAGGCCAATATCAAACTAAACTTTACCTTAAACACCAGATGCAGCATCATCTGCAATCCACTCTTGCCAGGGTATTTTCCGGCAACGTTTAAAGGTGAAAGGTCGAACAGATTGGCCCCTGTCTCCTGGCAAATTGCATGGACCAACATTTTCTTACCCACCCCTGATGGCCCTACTAGCAAGATGCTCTTTACCAGGGGAGCCTTCTCATGAACTGCTTGGGAACCTAGTATAGAACAAGGAAATGATTTTGCTTTTTTAGCTGGCAATATATAGCCAACACATGAAAAAGTTTGTATGTATGTTCTGTATGTTGAAGTGCCATTTCTAAAGTAAAAATATGTACATCTAGAGTGATGTATTGACTCACCTAATGGTAAAACAGCATAAAGGGCTACAACTTGCCGAACATCAGATAATGACGGCATAGGCTCAATATCAGACTGTCGTAGAGTTGTGCCAAGGTAGCTATAGTCACCTTTAATGAGAGCAGATGTGTCCAGATGTGTTATAATGGTTGTGAGAATGATTAGTAAATTGTATATACATATAGGCCTTTATCAATTTATGAACCCATTTAAAGTTTTCAAATAGCCAAACAAGCATTACAGAAGAAATGTTTATTTCTTTTTTTTTACCATAAACTAAAACATTACCAAGATAATCTTTTAGTTTAACATTTTCTGCCTTTTTCAGCAATTCTTGTTCAACCAGCTCTTCAAACAATGACTCGGTGGTCCTAAAAAAAAAATAAAAAATTAGATTAGATTAGAGTTAGAAAAAAGAGTTAGATTAACATAGAGTTCAATATACACATTCAAATGTTTGGTGGCGTGTAGTAATTAAAGACATGAACTATTCCTTTAATGGTGGAGAATTCCAAACTCCCAAAAGCAAAATTACAAACAACTAAAACAATAACTAAAAAAACCTATCGGCTGTAAGGTCTTTGTCCTTCTTCTTCTTCTTTCCGCCTTTTGTTGCCTTCTTTTTCTAAGAAGTCAGAAACAAAATATACATAAAGACAGTATAATACCTGAGTTGCAAGCAGAGGCAAACATCATTTTCAGTTTCTTCATTTACAATGTGTAACATAAGACATCAAGGTAATCTCTCTGATGTTCGATAAATCCATGTAAACAGAATGGGTTTACTGTACTTTTGCAGCACCCTTGCCCTTTCCGCTTTTTTCTTTATCCACAGCCAGCTTC